GGGCCGCCGAGCACCGCCAAGGCTGCGCCTCTTTGTCACGGGGGGAGCAGCAGAGCCGAGGAGCCGCCTCTGAGGCGGGCCCCTGGGCCTCAGGGGCCGGGCTCGGGGCTGCCGGGCGGGGAGCGGGGCCGGGGGGCGGCGCTGCCGGGAGGGCCGGGCCGGGCCGGGCGGTGGCGGCCCCGGGGATGGCGGCGCGGGGCCCGCCGCGGTTCGGGCCGGTGCAGCTGCTGCTGGCGGCGGCGGGGGCGGCGGCGGCGGCGCTGGACGTGTGCGCGGACGCCTGGGTGGCGGCGGGGTACTGGCGGGCCGGGCACCCCGGCTGGGCCGCGCTGGGGCTGGCGCTGCTGGCCGCCGCCTCGGCCGCCACCCAGGCCTGCAGCTGGCTCTGGTTCCGCTCCGACCCGGCCGCGCTGCGCCCCGAGCTGCCCCGCTGCCTGCTCGCCGCCCTCCACCTCCTCCAGCTCGGCTTCTTCTACAGGTACGGCCCGGGGGAACGGCCCCGCTTTCTGCTCCCTCCGCGGCCCCGCCGGCCGCCCCCGACCCCGGCCCCGGGGTGGGACCGGGCCCCGCCCGGCACAGCCGCGGCCGCCTCCTGCGGGACGGGCCCGGACTCGGCCCCGCGGGCTCCTGCCCAGTCCCGGCCCGGGTCCAGCGCTTTCGGTCCCGAGGCAGGGCCGGTCGTCACCCCCCTGCCCGCCCGGCTTCTCCTTGCCCCTGGGTGCCGGCCCTTCGTGGCGTGGCAACCAGCGACAGTGAGCAGAAGCGTCGAGACTGGACGATTCCTCGATATTTTTTTACAGCAAATACAGTGCCTGCGTCCGTCTCTGTTCCCAGGAGCGAAGATCAGCTCCTGAAACAGTGGAGCAGAGCACAGATCCTGTCTTGGCTTCTGCTCCCTCCTTTTTTCAGGGGGCAGCATGGCCATGGTGTTCCTTGCCTCCCCACTGAAGGAGATGACCCGGCTGCTTGCTGAACGTCCTCCGCAGAAATCAGTGGTTAAGTCGGAGGGGAGGACACGCACTGCTCTATGCCTCTGTTTTCTTTTTCCTGATGCACATGCAGCAGATGTCAGGGGCAGAGAAGCTCTTGTACATTAAAGGCCTGGAAGCTGTGCAGGGGGCACGGGGCAGTTACTGTGGGACCCTTCTGGTGGGGGCTGGCACCTTGCTCGTGTACCTCTGTCATGGGGAAGGGAATTGCTTCAGACCAAGTTGAAGTGAGCTCCAGGCTCGGACTTGCTGGTGCCACGTGTCCCACCAGGGCAGTGCATGGTTGTCAATGGGCACGCTGCTGCAGAGGCACCTGCAGCTGGCCCCATGCAGCTCCTCACCACAGCTATGGTCCTGTGCAGGTGTCTCCACGCTCTGAAGCTGGGCTGGAAGGTGTGCTGGGCAAAGGCAGCATCGGAGGAGGAGCAGAACCGCCTGGCCTTTTTCTCCCATGACATCAGCATGCTACGCCTCTTTGAGACCTTCCTGGAGAACACCCCGCAGCTCACCCTGCTCCTCTACGTTATCCTGCGGACAAACAAGGCAGAGCCATCCCAGGGTGAGGGGGATGAAACTGGGGAGAGGTTTTGAGGCTTGAGCTTGAAGCGCAGAAGGGACCTGGTAGGATGTCTGCAGGCTGTAGGACCGAGCAGGATGCTGTTCTTCTGCCTCTGCTTGTGGTTCTCCAGCCATTCATGTCTCACATCCGTTGCTTCCTTGACAGAAAATGCAGGAGGGTGGACTCGGGCCTGTGTGGCCCACTGGCCTATGCTGGGCCTGGAGAGGGACCTGGGGGACCTTTATGATCCTTCCCCTGCGTCTCCTAGGCTGTGCCTAAAGTGCACCCCCCCCTGCACCTACCTCACCTTGTGGTCCTGTATAGCACAGTGTGCCCTTGGCCAGGGCCCAAGGGTCAGGAGAGCAGTCAGGAGCATGCTGGGGAGCAGGGAGGTGCTCTTGGGGACACGTGTGGAGAGTGGAGCGGAGCCCACGGAGGAGGTGCTTTGGTACCTATCTCAGAAAGGGGATGAGCCCCCTAAGTATCCCTGTGAAGAAACAGGGAGCTGAATCATGTCCTGGCTCTGTGGAGGCAGAGCTCTTCTGCCATTGTGGGCTGGGGGTTTCCCTGGCCGGGGAAACGGGCTCTGCAGAGCTCTTTGGTCCTGTTGCCTCTTTCCCATCTCCTGGTCCAGCCGCCAGGCTTGGGCAAGGGAGAAGTCCTCCAGGAGCAGCACCAGCCTGCTCCTTGCGGAGGGCAGGAAGCCAGGGAGGCAAAAGAAGAAAAAGAGATGCTGATGCTCTGACTCCCCAGAGCTGCTGCTTTGCATGCCAGTGGGATGCACGTTTTAGCAATGTCTGGCAGAGTGATATTTGGAGCAGGGCCAATCCCAGCTCTGTCTGCCCTTTGCATCTCTGCTGCTGTGTTTGCAGGACTGGGGATCTGCACTGCCTTCCTGTGTGTGACCTGGTCTCTGCTGGACTATCACCAGTCCCTGCGCTCCTTCTTGCAGGACAAGTATGAGCTGAGCCTGGGCTCCTCAGTTGTCTACTTCCTGTGGAACCTCTCCCTCACCTGCCCCCGCATCCTCGTGGTCGCCCTCTTTGCCCTGCTGTGGCCCTACGGCGTCGCTATTCACTTCCTGCTCGTGTGGCTGGCGATGTTCCTCTGGGTCAGCTTGCAGGGCACAGACTTCATGGAGTCACCTGGCCCTGAGCAGCTCTACCGGGCCATTGTGGCTGTGATCCTGTACTTCAGCTGGTTCAACGTGGCTCCAGGGAGGACACTGTACCGCAGCATCATCTATCATGGCTTCATCCTGGTGGACAGCACGCTGCTGGCCCTGTCCTGGCTCTTGTGCCACTCCCCTTTGGACGAGCACTTCTACCTCATCCCAGTGGTCTCTGCTGCCCTGCCCTGCTATCTTCTGGGGCTGCTGCTGAGAGTCAGCTACTACAAGTGGCTGCACCCCAGCGCACGAGCACAGAAGCAGGGCAGCTATGATGAGGTGGATGCCAACAGGAGGACCGATGGGCTGGAGTTTCGGACTGCCTTGGAGCCGGACCTTGTGAACAGGAGGATGCAGTGCCTGGCCCAGCACCAGTTCGTGGTACCTGTCCTGGCAGAGCAGCACTTGCTGAACGGGGCTGCTGCTGCTGACGCTGCTGTCTGAGGCCGGGTCCTCCAGCTCCTCAGGAAGGAGTCCTGCCTCCTCAAAGTGGTCTGACTTGCTGGGGAGATAAGTTTGCTAGTTCTCTCGGTTATTCCTCTGTGTGCCTCAGACTGCTGTTTTGGACAGCTTGGTGCTACGTCCAGGATGCTGGAGGGGCTGGGCAGAAAGCTGGGGAGATCTGCGAGTGCCTGGCCAGTCCCACGGCACAAAGCAGGGCTCCCACTGCTTCACTGGAGGAGAGCCACAGTGCTCGGGGCGGAGGCCAGTACATTGTGAATGCACTGTTGTGTCAACCTTTCTCGTTATTTATTATTAGGCTTTTCAAAAAAAACAAAAAACAAAACAACTGTTCATCCTCTTTGTCTGTGCCTCTCTTGGTGCCTGCTGCCAAGGTTGCTCCTCATGGATGTGGCTGCTGGTAGCAGAGAGCTCATTTTCCTTGGCAGCAGCTGTGGGGTGTTTTCTGGTGTGTTTTCCCACTTCCAATGTTTTGCTGTTAAGGTCAAAAATTGCCCAGTATCAAGATGTGACTCAGAGCCCTGCTGAGAGGGGCAGAGAAGAACGTGAGGGCTCTCTGCAGCCTGGCACCCACCTGGGAGAGTGGCTGCCTTGGGAGGGCAGCGGTTGTAGGGTGCCTGCACCTCTGTAGGGTGTTATAGGGGTCCTGGGGTGGGATGCGGGGCAAGGGGGGGTCATGTAAGCAGTGGCTTCACCGCTCTGAAAACGCGAGAGCACTTTCACACAGGGCCCTGCTCACACTGCCCCTTCATGCCCTTCCCACTGTCCAGGGAGATGGGCAGTGCTGAGCTCAGCTCTCTTCAGGAGCTCAGCTCCTGTGCAGAGAGGGCACGGGACAAAGCAGCACCTGCCTGCAGAGTGGCCTGTGCTGGAGTTTCTGCAGCCCCCAGCAAGCCACTCCTCCCGCACTGGCACTTGCAGAAAGAGCTTGCGTGAGCAGGGTAAGAGGCGCTCGGGCAGCAGGCCCTGCGCTGTGCCCGTGCTCTTGTCCCTGGGGGCAGCTCAGGGCAGCCACAGCACAGCTGGGAGCTGGGGCCAGGCCCTGGGCACAGGCTGGTAGGGCTGCAGCTTGGTTCAGCACTTGTGGCTTAAATGTCACCTTACAGTCCCTTTGTAGCCATTCCTACCACCACCAACTACAGCTGTGACCAGGCTGGAACAACCCAGGGTCGGTTTCTTGGCTGTAACAGTGGCACAGGGGGGAGGGCTGGACATGGGGCTGCAGCATGGGAACTGTGGCAGAGCCTGGGCCCATTGCCCGGATACATGGTGCTTGCCCAGGCAAGCTCCAAGGCAGCTCCTGGCTCCTTCTGCTGTTGCATGGCCCACCACAGCCCCTTCCCCATCCACCCCCTGTTGCAGGAGGGGACTGGCCCATACCAGGTGCTTTGGGAAGGGCGGTGCATGGGGAGGCAGCCAGATGCAGCTGAACTGCTCCTGTCCCATGAACCTGCCACAAGATAAGCCCAGGGCAAAGGCCTGGTGCAGCAGCTGTGCTGTAGTGCCACTGGAGGAGGCTGGTTGCTGGACTTGTGCAAAAGGGAAGCGGGGGGAAAAAAGGGCAGGGTTTGTGCCTCACTACCCAAGCACAACGTGACTTATGTGGGCAGCAGAGCAGAGCCAAAGGTCATGGAACTGCACTGCTGTCTGCTGCAGGAACCCCCGGGAGAGCAGGGGCATCCAGGGGCTGTGCTGGGACCTGAGGCGCAGTCACCCAAACTCCTTTGCTGGCACTGATGGCCTCCCAGCCAGGGCCATCACCGAGGGCAGGGACCAACTGCAGGGAGGGGCTGTCAGAGAACAGACTGAAGCACTGACTATAGAAAATAAAGAAAATAAAGACTTTATTTTTTTTCCAGTTCATAGGACAGCTCCCGTTACACAGAACACAAACAGGCAACGACTGCGCAGCCAGCAGCCCCTGGGGCTCCCCTCCTTCCGCCACGCTGGGAAGTCACCGCAGAAAAGGCTGCTGCAGGCTCAGGGGGCTCCTGCTGCTTTCTGCACCACTGTAGGCTGAGGGCCAACACTGGCATTTCCCCCAGAGCATGTGGAGGCACCACACACCATGATCAGATGGTTGTTTTTTAAGACTGCATCTGCAGTTAAAAGCAGGGAGGAGGCCAGCAGCTGCTTGTGTGCACCCAGGCCAGCGGGCATTCATTCACGTAATTGGATTTATCAGCAGTTCAGCTTACAGCCAGGTCAGGAATAACAGGAGAGCAAAGAGACACAGAAGCAAATCAATGCTTGGTTCTCATGTGCTTGGCTGCCACATGAGAGAGAGGCAAAGTCTTAACATCAGCCAGCAGAGGGGGAAAAAAAATAAAATAGCCAGGTCAACCTTTATTATTAAACAAACACAGAAATGTACCATCAACCTCCTATTATAAAAGTACTTTACATACATTCAAGGAGACATCGTATAAATATCAGTATGAAATGTCACTGGCTGCAATAGGTCCACACTCAGCTAAAATTTTGCTGCCATCTTAAAGTTTCTTTAAAACATTTTAAAAGTAAACAAACACAAAGCAAAGCCTGCCAGCTTCTGGGCTGCTTGATACCTTGGTTTCAGCACTCACTGAGTGCCTGGGCAAAACACATCCTACCTCCTAGCATGAACCAACATGGCTCTCCTGCAAGCAACTTTAGACGTTAGTGAAGCAGAGAGGCCACTTGCCCATGCCAGGCAGTGGGAGGTTAAGGCACGTGTTTCCATCCCGAAGTTCAGCTGGCTGGAGTACAAGACATGTTCACAGGCAGGTCCAAGCCTGCTTACAAGACCTTTGGATGGGCTGGGGACCTGCAGAGACAGACTTAGGAACCAGCACGGACTCTTCCATAACTTAGAGATGTCCTGATCTAGGAACATTTCAGAAACAATGGAGCTGCTTCTCTACATGGCTCCCTTCCTCCCAGATATGCTCTTTCTGATGCAGTAACAAGTCGTCTTCAGAGCCCTCAAATGAACCTAACTCTCAGCCCTGTGCCATCTCCACCCTCCCACTCTGCACAGCACTCATGCTGCTGCTAAACACCAGCATGCACCCACAGCATGAAAGCAGAAATTGGCTCCTCAGGTTTTCTGATGGGACAAGAGCTCACAGGCAGCAGGTGCTACACACACAGCACAATCCTGAAGCAGAGGTTTCCTGTGAAAATACGCAGACCCAGAGCCTGAGATTGAAGTGCTAGGCCAACACCTAGCAAGGAGCTGGATGGAAAACAGATGGCTCCCGACTCCTGGCCATCTTGAAGTGAGAAAAGCTCTGATTTTTATATATTTTTAAAACCAAAACTGGAGCTAGGAACATCTGAAACAGAAACCTCCATGTTCAGTCCCTCAGCTCTGGGGGTCCAATGCCCTAGCACCATTTCAGCAGTGGTGACCAGAGCCAGCACAGGGACAGACACCAACCTGTCACTCACAGGCCACATCACAGTGCTTGGGCTGAGCCAACACAGGAACTCCCCCAGCACTGATGGAAATGATTCCTCAGTAAATAATGCCATGAAAGGAATGCAGCAAATATCACCTGCTTCTGTAGGCACAGCCTGAGTGGGTCAGTGTCCTTCCAACATGACAGGTTGGGTCTTTCAGGCCAGACCCAGATGAATTATGCTGGGCTGCAGATGAGATCTGGAAGAGTTTGGGTGCAACTGCGGTGTTTGCTGAGCCCCACTACACACTTCTGCTTTCCCTGCTGAGCCAGACATCTGGCCTCTGTACAAAAACTTTAGGCACCTGCTGATTTTGTGCCATCAGGGTACAGACAGGTGGCAGACACCACCAAACACTGCCTGATCTCGCACAAAACCAGCTCCCTGTGTTAGCACCCAGTCTTCAGCTGGTTATTTCTGGCTCGTGGTACCACAGGTCACTGACTCCAGCCTTTTTTTATGAGATAGTAGCAAAAGTATCAGTGTAACCATCACTTCCAAGGTCAGTGTGCCCCAGGTTGGCAAGTCACAGTGTCTTACAAAATTAAGTCCCCCCTTAACAAGGATTTTGTTTCTAACTATGTAGAGTTAGGCTAATGCAAAGAAGAATATAATAAAATTGAATCTGATTCTACTAAAAGGAACATACTCTCACAAATGGAGTCAGAAAAGCAGAGGTGAAGATTAGTTACCATATCCTTCTTTGTAACATTTATGAGGATTTAGTTCTCTCTCAAATTATTCCTCGTCCAAATGAGGTTTCTGTTCACTTCTCAGCACTATCTTCAATATTGTCGTGCTGTATCTAATGTTCACAGGCAGTTTCGTTTTCCCATATAAGGAAAATCTGTGGGATCTGCAGTTTGGGTTGTGGATTGCTGGAATCCAACACCCTACTACTTGTTAACAGTGTTTGGAGCCATGTGCAATGTAAACACATTGACTAGAAGCCAATGGGATCAACCAACAGCAACACTGTCCTTTATGAGGAACCCCAGAAACATTCCCTTATCTTTTTATTTTCCAGAAATCCCACACTGAAGAAATTATGTAAGGATATCATAATAAATTATCTACTTTGAACACCCAGGAAAGGAGAGAGGACACACTTTCACATCAGTAGAGGTATATTGACATTTTCATTAGTATTTCCCATGGAAAAAAACAATAGCTCTTTTCGGCTTTGCAAAACAAGGGAGATTCAGCTCTGCCGTCAGTATTTTTCTATAAAAATAAGATTTTATGTTTACTTGGGTTCTATAACTAAGCTGAATAGAAAAGCAGAAGTATCTGTTAGAGCCTTCTCCACTGTATTACCCCTTCACTCTGGAGAGTACCTGCTAGAAGAATTCAGCTGGCTTCTGTGAGTCTCTTCAGACAAGCTCTAGCTCTGCTGAGTCTAGTGCTTCTTTATAGCACTAGACTTTTGTACTTGGCAGGGCCTATGCTCCTGAGGAAATGACCTGGTGTCACATTCTACTGTACAATTTGCATTAGGTGTATATTCTTCATCAAGCTGAAAATTGAGTCACCAAATGTATGAGATTTCTGCCTCTCCAGTGATGGAGAGGGCTTGCAGGAGCTGCTGCAGTCACACCTTTGCTCCAGTGTCTTACAGGAAGTCTAACTCAAGGGCTTGGTGAAGGGACACAAGGTCTGCGTGGTTTGTGATCCTCCAGAAAGGCATGTTGTGCTGTAACAAGAAGATTAACAAAGTCCGTTTTATTCGAGTGATTTTGCAGCTAGATGGAAGCAGTCAAGGTACACCTGCAAAGTTGTGCAATACAGCATTTGTAACAGCACATACCATGCTCAGGACAGATCCCAGCCGTATGCATACTGGTATCAGAACCTTATCTTATCTGCACAGTAATTCATGATGGGTGCCAGCACTATCAGCCACTTTGGGCAGTCATGATGGAAACTTCAGATGAAAAGCCTCCGAGACTCAAAGGGAATCTGTGTGGATGACAGCTCTGGCACATGGCAGTCAGTGTGACGCCTGAGAGATGCTGTCCTGACAGTAATCCATGCACCTAACTGCCTTTAATTAACATGAGTGAGCAATCTACTCAGGCTTGTTCAATCAAACTTTTTGCTCCTTATCTGTAATTCAGACTAATAGTAGATGCTGTGTATTGATCTGACTGCTGGCAATCAAGTCCTGACTCCCTCAGTGCTTCTGAGAAATCACATTACCCTGATTAATAGACTCATGCTATGATCAAGGCCTGCCACATCAAGATACTGTCCCTGTAAAAACAGGGACAGTGCTACACTAACAGACTGCAAGTACACATGAACTTCTATCCTAGACAAGAGTAGAACAGAAACTTTAAACCCTCAAGAGCCAGATAACTTCCCGTCTTAATGTAGTAAAAGATTTCTTGCAAAGGCCAAGTTTCCCCTCTCTGCCTCTGGCCTGAAGAATTCAGCCTTGGAAAAAGAGTACCTGCAATAAAAGACTGTTACTGTAACCTCCCTGTACATCAACCCATATCCCACCTCTGCAGAAACCCACCTGCTTAGCTGCAACCTCTTCATCACGCCCATCTCCAATTACCACATAGGTGACTTTCTTTCCAAATCGTGACACAATCCTCTCAAAACAGCTTTCTTTGCCTGCCAAAAGAGAATACCGCTATAATAAGCCTTAGGCAGAGAGAAACAGAAGCCTGAACTAACCCCTTCTTCCCAGAACAAAAATACATTTTTGTCTTACTGGGAACCCAGTTTGGTTCATAAGACCAGAAGCCACCACTATTAACATGGCTAGCTGCATCACAGCAGTCACAAGCAGTTCTCAGCTGCAGAAACTGTGTTTCCTGTGTAAAAATCCTAGCTAGCCCACAAAAGACACCTCTGTGCCAGGTGTCTCAGCACAGACCCTTACCTATTTTTGTAGCACTATAAATATTTTCAATGGGAAACACCTCGCCCAATCCATATAGAAGAACTTTGGCAAGAGCTGGCACCAGTTGGGTGGTTGTGATCAGGATGTTCACACAGTTTTTTCTAAAAGAAAAAAAAAAAACAAAAAAAAACACTTGTAAAAGCACACCTACACCTCATAGTGCTGAAGGGTACTCTGGGCAACTTGTCCAGCTTTCCAAAGTGCCATGAACTTTGCTGCCCTGCTTCTCTGAGTCTTTGTAGACCAAGATTTTGATTTGTTTGTTTTAAACAAAAATTCTCCTGAAGAAATGTAATTTTTTGAGCACAGTCCTATTAAGAGGACTTTCCTAGCCAAGGATGTTGTCATAGAAAGGCCCCAAAGGGTGCTCCAGAGTGGGGTTCTTGCACACATTCACTTCATTTCCTAGAACCTGTGACAAGAAGTAGTAATGTACTTGTGGGCATTGCTGTAAGTGCATGCAAATCTAAGACAAAATAACTGAGAAAGCAACGTACACGTTTCCAGTTTCCATACCTGGACTGTATGAGTAGCAGGGACTTTAATGCAGTTTCCAGCCAGGAATCTGTTAACACTTCTATATCAGTTCTCAGTCGTTGCAGAGCTTCCCTTTTCTGTGGGCTAAGAAGGCCTGGAAAGCAAGCAACACATTTTCTCAGCTGCATTGGTAAGCCCTGTGCAGTTCTTAGGATACATACAACAAAATGTACTAACTCATACAAAAAACGAGTAAGTGTCATGTGAGGTCACAAGCAGCAGCAAGGGAAGGAATTCCTGCAGTCACCCTGTCAGACTTTCTGCTCCACACAGGCCCAAGGACCCTTCCCATCTTAATCACAGAATCAGAGAATCACAGAATGGCTGGGGTTGGAAGGGACCTCTGGAGATCACCTAGCCCACCCCCGCTGCTGAGCAGGATCACCTCGAGCACCTTGCACAGGATGGCATCCAGGCGGGTTTTGATTATCTCCAGAGAAGACTCCACAACTTCTCTGGGCAACCCGTCCCAGTGCCCTCTCATATTGAGACGGAACCTCCTGGGCTTCAGTTTGTGCCTCTCGTCCTGTCGCTGGGCACAACTGAAAGGAGACCAGCTCCATCCTCTTGAAACCCTCCCCTCAGATATTTATACACACTGATGAGCTCTCCCCTCAGTCTCCTCTTTTCCAGGCTAAACAGGCCCAGATCTCCCAGCCTATCCTCATTCAACAGGTGCTCCAGTCCTCTCATCATCTCCATAGCCCTCCTCTGAGCTCGCTCCAGTAGCTCTATTTCCCTCTGGTACTGGGGAGGCCAGAACTGGGCACAGTGCTCCACGTGTGGCCTCAGTCAGGCCGAGCAGAGAAGCAGGATCCCCTCCCCTGGCCTGCTGGCAACACTTCCGAATGCAGCCCAGCATCCCCTCAGCCTTCTTGGCCACAAGGGCACATTGCTGGCTCATGGTCAGCCTGCTGGCCAGCAGGACTCCCAGGTCCTTCTTTGCAGAGCTGTACTTAATGCCTTTTAAACATCATTTTCTCAAAACATCTAGTTGCAAATGGTCAGAAATGGTGGCTATGCAGTCAATTCTGCTTCCATTATTAAATAAAACAAAAACAACAAAAAAAATAGAGAGCCACTTGAGTCTGAAACTCTTTCCACCCAATTTCTAGCCATGCACTATGACTCCTTCTTGTCACTCCTCCCCACCACTTCTTTACGCAATATACTCTAGTACTCTGACAAGGAGGCCACAGAGGGATTCATTCCAGGCTGTGCTGGCAACTACTTTACCTTTAGACAGGTCCTGAAAAACCCCACAACCAGGTTTCCCACATGCGAAATATGAAATAATGTCTGATTCCTACCAGAAATAAGGTAACTGTGGTACACTAAAATGCAGACGTTATTACTACAACTTTTAAGGCTGAGGGTTATAGTTCTGACCACCCTTTTTGTTTGTATTTCAGAAAGTACGTCAAAGAAAACGTTGTATCAAGCTTCTTTTGCTTAGGCTAAGGGTACTTAAACCTGCAACCCACCAAGCTGTCACACAGATGAGCTGCTCCAACAGCACCCTGTTCCTAAGGATCTCAATGCTAAGATTCAGACTAAACAGAAACTTTCTCAACATTTGACTTCTGTGGAATAGAATTGCAGTATGCATCTTTATTACTGCTGTGGCATTGGAAAAATCAGAAGATTTTAAGTGACTTTGTGAACAGACTTAGAGATATCGTGTCAGACTAAGCATGGCAACCAAAAGAACGAACACTTTACTTCTTGACAATTGTGTAATAAAAGATTTTCTGAAGACATAGGTGAAAAGGTCTCCTAAGCAGAATGTTATATAAGTCATTTAGGCTTGTTCTACACAGGGTGATAGGCAGCCTTTCATTCAAAAGTAGCAAAGGAACACTGCACCAAACCCTTCTCTGAGATATATGATTGACTAACCAACACTATCTACATAAGTCAGAGAGCACATTGGAATACTGTTCAGTTTTGGAAGATGCAGCCTCGTGGATTACACAGAAATATGATCTTACTTAGCATTAGCAGAACAGTTAATTTTCATGTTCAAACATTTAGGAAAGTAAGAACTACTGTATGGAACAGCTACCAAGAAAAGCCAAGTTTGGTGTTACAAACTCTGGTTAGTGCTCCAGATACTGGTGCATGGGAACACTCACCTCCAATGTTAGTTTTGTATTTATCGTATATCTCTCGTACCCTGCGGTAGCGGAATGCTAGTTTTCTCATCCAGTCCACTCCACCTTGGACACCAACTGATGAACTGTGATTTGCATTACTTCCTGAGCCACTGAAGCCATCCGTGGAGAAATTGTAGTTGCTATTAAAACAAAAAAGAAAAAAACAAAAAACAAAAACACACAGATCTATTAAATGTGCCACAGCAGCAGAGCCACTATGGCTGGGTTGCAGATTTCAGCTCTGACAGCAGCTAGAAAAGCACCATGAAGAACTCTGCACAACCACCACTGCACCCCTGATGGTGGAGGCCAACTACTCTGGGTAATGTGCTCTAATACCCACCCACACTTGCTTTCAGTTCTCAACTGCTGTACTGAAATTTATTGATTCAACTTCTCTTGCATACTCCCAATACAAAATCCAACTTTTGCTCTTCACTCACTTCTCTGCAATACAGAACATCCTTCCCACTAACCTCTCTCATTCTGCACTGATAAATCCCTATGTAGTATTTTCCAAACATAACAACTACCTCTCTAGATCACAGCTACAGTTCCACAAGCAGATGAGCTGCTTTACCAGCTCATGTCTGGAGGAAGCAGGTTCTGCTTCACCACTTTCTCCATATTTCTTTCTCCCTGACAGACAGGCACTTCTCAGACCTTTCCATGAGCCAGTTCAACTCACTAATGCAGCAGAATAATTATCGCCCTGTCTATGTATAAAATCAGCTCACAGGGAGGTGCAAACTGTAGGGAGACTTTCAAAAGTCAAAATCATCAATTTGGAATGTGGATTCTCTACTTATTACACATCACTGAGTATATAGGTAATATTCAACAGTTCAACAATGCAATTCCCATTATAATTCCGAAAGTTTTTTGTAGGTCCTAAAAATAAAAAAATAAAACACCCAGCAAACAAACAGCACTGGCAGAGTTTCGGACCCTGCACAATGCTGGCCTTCATTCCTTAACCCCATTACAGTTTGGTTTCTTTCTGAAGCCTTACAAAACAATCCAGATTGCATCAGCTATACGTTTCATGCATTCTTCAGTACGTCACCTTAAATCTTGGCCATTATCATCAGATGCCACATCTTCTATGTGTACCTGGTCACACTCCTGTTTAAAACAAGAAAAAAAAAAAAAAAAGCAGAAGCCACTATTGTAATCCAGAAACATACCAAACTGCAGATTTAAAGAAGCATGATACAGAACGATCCTTTCACATTTGCCAACAACACCAAACACAGCTATACTGCCTCCACAAACTGATACACAGCTTCCATTAGCTTTGTTTTCCAGTACTTCCATTAGCTTTGTTTTACTTTGCACCACCTACAAGTCCTTGCCAAGACAGGGATTTGAAGCACCAGAAAGGTCAGAGAAAAAAAAAAAAAAAAAGTGTTTCAATAGCATTTTGTCTGCAAAGAAGAAACCTCAACACTTGCTGAACAAGTTGAACTGATAATTCACTTATCATCTGAAACCCTTCTGCCATTTCACAAAAACAAGCTAAACAAAAGCAAAAGTACCCCCAAACCATATTATGTGGTTGATTGATGATACTCTGTTTAAACAATAACATAATGGTCAATTTTCTTACTAGAGATCCACAGCATAAATCTTGGATTGAAATATCAATACCTTATTGCTTTGACATTGCTGCTTAGTACAGCTGACTTTACCCAGAGATAAACTGCAAATACCTTAGAACTACAAGCAAATTTTCCCCACCTCAAAAATTTCCCACTGCAACTACTACCAGCAGCAGTGAGTGATGTTGACTACATAGTTCACGTGTCAGTGACTATCCTTCCAGTACGAGAGACCTTTTTTTTTTCCCTGCGGCAGAGATGTAACTGCCATTACCACTTTTATGAAATTCACAGCTGCCATAAATGTAAACTTAATTTAAGTTTCCATTTGTATTAATAAAAACATCTTGTGTTTTCCCACCATGTACACCAGTGATGCATCTACATTTAACTGGTCACTCTTCATATTCAGCCTTCATAAGATTTAAACTGGACCTGAAAATTCTGCAAATTAGGTTCATGAATCCGTATTTTTGTGCTCAAATTTCAAAGATGATGCAAGTCAGGAAATCTGTTTCCAACCACTAAATTCCAGACTATGCCAAAATTCCACACCTCTCCAGATAGCTTGCATTAGTCTTTTCACTACTATCTGATAATGTCGTAGCATAGGCTATTGCCATAATTCAAGGAAAGATTTATATTCAGCTTCTGTGAAAGTGCAGAACAGACAGATGTATTTAATTTGGCAAAGAATATTGTGCATGAAAGAGGACGGACGCTGAACAGACGTCCCTCAAGAAGAACAAGAATAGGAGAGCAGCAGAGACTGCTTGTGAGAAGGTAGCACCTCCATAGATACAGCCTGCTTGTCCGTGGAAGCACATCCTTCATATTTGTTACACAGTCAGTGTGACCTAATGGTTCACTGGCTGAGACTGTCTTTTCTTTAGCCAAAGCCCCAGGAACAAACATCCTACAGGTCACCTTTTTCTCCAGATCTCTGGTCTCTATTTCAAATATATCATCAGCGAAAGCAAAATGCTTACCAGTCCAGAATGAAACTATAATACAAAGTAGGCATCGCTCTTAATGTTTTCAGGTACAAGTAGAAACCCATAGGAGAGCTAGGAGAGCTCATGACACTGGAAGTGTCCAGGATGCCCCTGTCTCAGATAAAAGAGAACAAACGCCCCTTTGATTTGGCTGTGCTTAGAACCACTTAAGTTTTGGCATAGCATTATTCATTATTGACTTGCTGTGAAGCACATCTGCCTCCACAAACTCTGCAGTGTAACTCTAATTAATATGGAGTTTTTCTTTTCAAAAAACATTTGCCATGTACCTCTAAGTCATTGAAAAACAGGTGAGTATCAGCTACTTCAAAAATCATCTCCTCCATTGACAGACCAGACCCAATTACTAGAGTTGGATCCTGACAAAACAAAAAGAAAAAATGTAAACTCATCATGGTTACAGGCTAAAAGCAATTTATGACAAATCTTTCATCAGTTACTTTGTACAGAATTTCAAATGTCTATCGGGAATGATGTAATTCCATCTGGTATACACTGACTCAAAATGTTAAAAAAACACTTTAGTACTTCATGGCAGGGACTGAAGCACTTTCAGAAGCAACATATACATTCCAAAGTCTTCAATGTATTTTGAAAGAGAAAAAATACTTCTTTTGTACTATGTCCTCAATAATTCCCAATAATGATAAAAGCCATCTGACATTGTTAGGAGGATAGTGTTTGTGATGTTAATAATCTAACTTTGTACAATAATCTATCTTTGTATAAAGCCACATCTAGTGCTCCTTTTTTCCCCTCCAATTTGCAGCAAGTTAGAAGTATCATACTACACATTTAAAACAAAATAGAATTTTCTATCCCTTTTCTAGAGATTAACATTTACTCCTGTATAACACATGATTTTTTTTCCACATAAAAGACAGCATTACCTTGCCATATTTTTGAGCGTAAGACCCTGTGAGAAGTGAATGGAAGATTATGATGGTCTCATCCAGGTCCCAGAGAAACACTCGCTGGGTAGAGAATAAAATCAAGTCAGAATCATAGAATCATTAAGGTTGGAAAAGACCTGCAAGATCATCTGGTCCAACCATCCCCCTACTACCAATATGACCCACTAAACCATGTCCTTAAGCACCAGATTCAACCTTTTCTTAAGCACCCCCAGGGATGGTGATTCCACTACCTCCCTGGGCAACCTGTTCCAATGTCTGATCACTCTTTCTGAGAAGAAATGTCTCCTAATTTCTAACCTGAACCTCCCCTGGTGCAACTTGAGGCCATTCCATGTTGTTCTATCACTAGTTACCTGTGAGAAGAGGCCGACCCCAGCTCTCCACACCTTCCTTTCAGGTAGTGTAGAGAGCAATAAGGTCTCCCCTGAGCCTCCTTTTCTCCAGACTAAACAATCCCAGTGCCCTCAGCCACTCCCTTGCGTTCCAGATCCTTCACCAGCTTCGTAGCCCTTCTCTGGACACATTTCAGGGCCTTGATGTCCTTCTTGTAGTGAGGGGCCCAAAACTGAATGCAGCACTCAAGGTGTGGCCTCACTAAAGCTGAGCACAGGGGGACAATCACCTCCACGGTCCTGCTGGCTGCACTATTCCTGACACAAGCCAGGATGCTGTTGGCCTTCTTGGCCACTTGGGCACACTGCTGGCTCATGTTCAGATGAGCATCAACCAACAGTCCCAGGTCCTTTTTCTCTGCACAGCTTTCCAGCCACCCTGTCCCAAACCTGTAGCGCTGCATGGGGTTGTTGTGGCCAAAGTGCAGGACCTGGCACTTAGCCATATAGAACCTCATCCCTTGGCCTCTGCCCATTGACCCAACCTGTCCAGGTCCCTCTGCAGGGCCTTCCTTCCCTCCAGCAGATCGACGTTTCCCTCCAACTAGAGTTGTAGAGTCGAGACAGTTCAAATACAATGCTATAATAAAGGAACAACTTCTAGGGTTCATTTTGCAGTTAGTTGCAGTATGCTTTTTAACAGGTATGAACAACAGCATTCATCTCACAGACTAAATACATTATTAGTTAAACTCTTCCAGCGTAGCATGGTGGAGCTTATATACTGAAACAGGGCAACTATACACTCCGGGTAAGACTCGTTTGATCAATTTTTTTCTCAAAAGCTTCTCCTGTTTTTATAGTTATAAAAGCAAAGCACTGGAGTGATAATGAAATTTAGAGCCCAGCTAGGGTAGATATTTACTGCTGATGATGTAGAGAGCAACAGGTAAATGACCTTGGTGTTTATCAGAGACGCCTTTGTTAAGATAAATAAAGGGGATTGGCTGTTGTGACTAATAGAATTTTAGTACAGAAGGACTTTGACAGACTTGAGAACTGGGCCAGCAGGAACTACAAGAAGTTCAGTAACTGCAGATTCTGCATGTGGGGGTAGAATAACCCCTTAAATAGGTCCAGGCTGGAAAGAGCTGGACGGTACATTGGACACCAGGTGCAGTATGAGCCAGCAGTGCACTCTCCCTGTAGATAAGATTAACTGCATGCTGGAGAATATGGTGAAGAGCTGATGGAGGGAAGGTGTTCCACTCTGTTTGGCACTGGAAAGGTCACCCCAGAATACTGGGTCCAGTATTGTATCCCCTGTTCAGGAGGTATGTGAGGAAACTGGAGAGCAGTCAGCAAAGGGCTGCTGAGGCTGACAGAGCTGTAATGGCTTATCTTGACAAAGAGGACACTAAGAGTGATCTAATAGCAGCCCACAACTACTTGAAGAATAACTGCAAAGATAATGGAGACAAATTCTCAGTAGTGACAAATGGAAAACTGCAATGGAAAAAAGAACAGGCAAATTCCAGCTTGGGAGATTCTGGATAGAGAAGGAAAACCTGCTTCCCAAGGTGGGTGTGGTAGTCCCACGACATCAATATATAGATGCAGGATCTCCAACCTTGGAGGTTCTTAAGACTCAACTCAGCAAAGTTATGGTCATCCCCTTCTACTGGTGGGGAGAGCCCTGCTCTGAGCAGGAAACTGTGCTGGAGACATCCAGATGTCTGCTCCACTGACACTACTACAATTCCAAACTGTGTTTAAGTCATGCATGTCAAGGGCCACTGAAGAACTAATTTGGGCCAGTTCTCAGATAACAAGGATCACAGGAATTTCCATGTACACAGGAGGAAGGAAAGAGAGAACTTTTACCACCACACCATTCTGTAGTGCTACCTGTAGAAAACATTAGTACTTACCTCCAGTTCACTGTCCTGTGAGGAGGAGGCGTCTGCTTTCCTCTTCCCTCTGTTCTTCCCAGGGATGTTTTTTCTTGCCTGCTCATCTAACTCTTTACTTGCTGTTGCTCTTGACAATGATGGACTTGTGGATGCATCTCCTGCAGAAAGAAATCACAGAGCTCTCATCCCCTCATTTCTCAAAACAGACACCAACACAAAACTCACAGCATTTGACCACAAGCTTCCCCTGCAACAGGTAAGACACCTTATGTTATTGAAGCAATAGTAGTCGAACCATTGTTAAAACATAAAATATGATTTCATTGTCCCATCATTTCAAAATAGCTTTGTCTCCTGAATTCAGTACCTGTCAGGACTGACCTACTTACTGCATTCTGCTGCAGTAAAAGACAGCACATTTCAACCTAAGGCCTGTAAATCCCTCAAAAGTCTCTCTATCCTAGCACTGCTTTATTCTTCATTTGTTTCTTTTAATGCTTCTTGAGAGTTTGTGTCAGAAACTCTTAATCTGGAATGAAAGTACAAAGGAAAGTATTGAGTAATGCCTGTCCATCCTAGATTTCCTGGGCTAGTGAAATGAATTTTCTGTGCTGAGCAACCCTATATGAGACATGCTGTTTTGAGCATACACTACTCCCTCCTGTTCCACTGCAAAATATCTTTAGAGTAACAGTTAAGCAATAGCCAGTGTATGGAGTTATCTGGAGTATGTTCATCGTACACAAATACACAGCATGATGACTGTACACAAGACAGACTACAGCTACATTGCCCAACCATTCCCCCAAAACAAAACAAAACAGAAAAAAAACAGGGATGTAGTTGGCCCTGGAGAAAAAGGCTTGGCCAAGCAGCATGGCCATGACTGAAAAGGGATACGTTATAGGGCCAATTCTCCAACCAGTAAGAACTCCTCTCACCAGGAAAGGGTAAAACACCACCACCAAGTAAATAAATGTTTTAATGTGCAGAGTACTATGACAATGGGAGACACCCTCTGAAACCTCTATTAACACTTCACATAGAAGATTTAACATCCTAGGTGTCTGCCTGACTTTTTCAGAAATAGAACCAGAAGTTTATCAGGAATGCAGAAAGGAATAGGGTCGTCCATGTCCTCAATTCAGGGTTACCAGATGGATGGCCCGGACCAGTTTTTGACTCTGGAGCCAAGACAACTTGAAAGCTTTTGAATTTGGCCTGGGTCTTGAGCATGAAGCAACTAATGAACATTGTCCAATTCCTATGAAAATTCACGTAGAATGGTGAACTCGAGAGTACTCCTGAACTAAGAAAATGTCACTGAGAACGTTAACAACTGGGCCATTCTCTGACTGGTGGCTTGAAGTAACACGTCAATTGCTTGGAGCTTTCATAATCATGTAAAAACAGATTCAGGCGTGTAGATTTCCTGCTGTTTGCTCCAACTAGAGGACAACTGCTTCCTGAAAAAGGCAAAGCACTTGAAGCACCATGCTTCTTGATTTACAACATCACAGCATGCTTTTTGTCATCACCTTGCTGTGGTATCCCACAAGGTAAAGATGGGTTGACAAGAAAGGTATGGACAACACCTCCTGTCTTAAAAAAGGACTCGAGCCCTTTTGGAGCTACAGGAGCATATGATAGCTCTCTCTGGAACATGGGGAGAAGTAACTGTTTCCAAGTTCTACTTCCCAGGAAGGGAAAGCCCAGTCAGTAGGACCCTGTGGACTGGCCAGGAATTCTGCTCAGCCAGAGCTCACAGCATTATCAGCAAAGTCATCCAGTAGTGATATCTGTATTCTCTCTTTGAGGGGAAAAAACAAACAAACAAACAAAAAGCATTTAGAAAGACACCAATTATTGACATGTAAAAACAAGGAATACAGGTGTAGTGAGGTCAAAGTGTTAATTATTACTATGGGTTAAACTAGGCAACTTGTTCTGAACTGAACAGCAGTTCAGAAGCAGCTTTCCCAAAACAAAATGTTGCATGCAGAGTTCTCCTTCTCTGTGCAAGGAGGACTGAATACACTCAAAATCTGGCATTTGCCTAGTAGATGGGTTTCGCCAAAACAATAGTAGATATCTGGAATGCAGGTCAAGTTATTGGGGATATATGCCTCCAGGAGAGAATGCTCTGGTGAAATCCAGCTATCAGAGACAAGCCTCAAAAATAGCTCAGAGGCCATGTTCACAGGGCAGCCACTCAACAAAGCACTAGATGGACTGAGACCCCAGAAAACACTGTAGAAGTTACAAGGAATTAAGAAAATAAAGGTCCTGAGATAAGCTTAGAAAAAGGCAATATTTAAAGCAAAAGAATCCAACTATTGGTTCAGTGTTCCATTCCCTTGGGCATCTAAAGAACCAAGGACCTACAGTGCACTCAGTGCACTCTGTGTACTCATGCCCAAGGCATGCGGGGAGTAGGTGAGCTAAGACATAGCAAGTTCTGTTTCTAAGAGCCTGTGACACAATCATTCACAGGATAAAAAGATCTATGGAAAATAACAAGCAGAAAGGAAAAAAAAATACCATTATGAAGACCTAATCGTAGTCGCTCTTCTTTAAAACACCTAAACCAGAACTTAAAACTTCCAGCAAGCACCAAAGGCTGTGGAGAGGGTTTAAACAGCAGTGGTGCACTGACACTGGTTATCAGATAGGTACCCACCCAGCTGCTTGTTCATTCTTCCCTCTAGTGGGCCAGGGGAGAAAACAGGTAGAACAAAAGTGAAAAAAATTGTGGGTTGAGACAAAAACAAGTCTTTGTCTTGTAACAAGAGAGGAGGAAAAAAAAATCAAAACCAGGTGCTGCAAAGGCCCACCACCTCCCACAACGGGCTGATACCCAGCCAGTCTCTGAGCAACAGCTGCCTTGGAAGCCAAAATGCCCTGCCGCCTTCTTCCTCTGTGTCAGTTTTTATTGCAGAGCATATTGTTATATGGTATACATGTATATACCACATATATACGGTATATGTATTTGGCCACTTTGGATCGGTTGTCCCTGCTGTGTCCCCTTCCAGCCAAAAGTGTGCTGTCAATACTACTTTGGCCACAAATCCAAAACACAGCACCATAAGGGCCGCTATGAAGAAAGTTAGCTTCATCCCAGCCAGACACAGCACACTAACAAAAATAAAGTGAATCTACAACAGACATCAGATTTCATTTGGTAAGTGCTCTACAACAGAAGCAGAATCTCGTAACACCTTGTGTAAGATGCTGGAGGAAGCACTAAGTCTTTGATTTTATTGTTGTTAAATTTAGAAAACTGTAATTTTGTTGAGAAAAACTTTAGTTAATCAATACCTCTACAAGCTGGTACATTATATAGCATTAGTGGAGAAGGTCAGCCAAAGATGTGACTTCTCTAGAAGTCAGTTAAGTCCCTTTCTACATTTCTTCTAATAATAGCTAAAATCTGCCCTGACAAGTGTCACGTAACTTAATGCTATGCAGAGCTGTTCACATACAAAGCACAGCAGCTTTCAATGGTTTACATGATGAAGCAGACAGAAGAGAGGAAAGTAAAGGATGCGCTCCAGGGCACATCAGAGACCAACTCATTGAGAGGTTGTGGCCAAACTACAGCTCTTAAAAATGCATGAGAAGTTCCAAAGGGACTCCTTACCTGGGTTTGGCAGCTGTGTAATATGAATACCTGGCTGCAGGAAGGAAAGAGCTAGGAGCTATCAAGGCTGGATATCACATAGATGCCCTGGAGCCCACATGGACACCCAGCCCTGACACATGACAAGAGGCAACATACCCCAGAAAGCTGTTGTCAACTCCCCTTCCAGTCACCCCTGGAATTCCCTCTCTCTATAGCATTCAGAGTATATGCTGTGTGTCTCCCAAACCACAGTAGTATAAGATTTCCAATACATAAGTCTGGCTGGCCCACCACATAGTCTGCACATCAGTGAGACAGAGTGTGACGATGGAAACAAGAATCCTGTCCAGGATTGCACAGCACACAAATGTGCTTCAATTACACATTTTGAAATAAAGTTTTCTCCATGTCTGCACACTGTGTTGTTTATCAAAGGTATTAGCCACCCTGTTAAAGATGCAACCATTACCAGAGGAATGTCTCTGCACCGTCCGTGTAGGCACCATGGCATTTGTTTTTTCAGTCGGATACGTAGTTGTTGCTAATGCAGTACTCTCCGCGCTGCTGTCTGCTGGTGTTATGGCCCCAAAGCCAGAACTTGGGTAACACGTCTGGTACTGACTTTGGCCAAGGATTGTGTATGTAGGATATTCCTATTAGAGGAAAGGATTAGTTATGATAGGACACTCCTTTCAGAAAACATTCTATATCATGGTGACTTTTATACTAGAATATGCCTGTCAAAGAAAAACGTCAGCAAGAGCATAGTCTGACTTTGACTTTATGCTATTACCTTCCACACACGTAGGAAATCCCCAAGAAAGGATTGAGAGAGATGACTTCCCAATGGCCTCCACTGCAGGGAAGTTCTGCCCACAGAAGGCCAGAAACCACAGGGCCTTTCCTCTGCCTCTGGTTTCTTCAAAAATGAATTTATATGAATGATGTGACAGTAATAGGGGAGCATCCAGTTGATGCCAAGGCATCAGTCCACTATCTTCTGGAATTTGTGTCTTTGTCTTGCATTTTACTTTGATACCAGACGTACTGACAGCAATAGAGAACAGCCCTGGCATTGGCTCAGAATAAAAACCCAGCCACAAGAGCTAAAGGATAAAGTGCCTTTACTCATGACCTGTCTTCAGAAAGCAATTAAATTGCACACTGTGATTAAAGATATCTATTTCTGAAGACAATTTACTCATTTCAGAGTTGATCACTGAAATCAGAGGGCTCCTGAACTCAAGCTATACTTGAGGATTTTCATTTCTGCTACTGATAGTAGAGAAAATAGCCACCTTCTAAGTGCCACGTCACATTCTTCTGGCACACTGCACACTCCCAGTTCACTCAGGGAGTTTCTTGGATTTGTGAACATGCATCAGGCAATTCAGTCTGCATTACTATCCAGTCAAGATTTTCTCCTTAAAATTCTAAGCAAGTTTATGCTAACGAAAGAACCTTAAAAAGCAGCAGTGTAAATATACAAGGAATTTGCTTTAACCCTTGGATTTCCCACAGCTCCTGTATTCTCCTTCTGCAAAACTGTGATGTTGAAGGGTTCCTTTGTAATATCTGAATATTCAGACTGTCAGTTAACTGCTGCCTGCAGGAAGAAAGCAGTTATGACCCCACAGTAAGACATACTGGAAGGGCTCTGTGTTAGCCTCAGGCCTTTTGATTTTGTTTTATTCTAACTATCAGAACACATATCTCACTCAACTTTTTTGATTGTGTACAACATACATTCCTTTTCTTGCTGAGGGAGATCAAAGGTATTCAAAAGATGTCCAACTATAATCCTCCCTGTAGTTTGGTTCTAATACTAGTTCTATTGTTTCTTTTCCAGTGTCTCTCATGAAGAAATCTCAGTGCTCTGTTTAAGATTCACCACACGATTAGCGGATAAGGGCAGAGCTATGGACAGCTCAAATAAGTTTGCTGTGAAGGTCAAAGGGAAGAGCAACATTGTCAGAGACACAGCAAGAGCAATTTTGCTGACTTAGAGTAACATAACGAACCCTATAATTTCAGTAACCATTGTGCTCTACTTAAAGTTGTGCAAATATTTTGCTTTCTTCTGTTAGTTTTGAATAATTTGTTAAACAAAGGTGAATGAGATGCTGCACATAAATATAGCAAAGAGGAAATTTTACCTGTGAGATGCTGGCTACGGCTGATGTAGAAATATTGACAACAGTTGAAGATGTAGACACGGGATTGGCATTGGTAGTTGATGCTGTAAAATTAAGAATTACTTCATATAAATATATATGTTTCAAGAGAAGTACGAGAGACAAGACCAACCTAAGATGTAAAATAAGTTAGTAAGTTCTTACTGGCTTAGGTGCAAGCATTTGTGCTTCCAGCAGAACTCTGCTTGTAATGGCCAAAAAAGTGTTGGGGGGTATCTTGAAACCAGTTAAATTTCCACCGGGCTTACAGGGGAGGAGAACTGACACACAGTGATCTTTAAAAACATCATTTTCAAGTGTTTCAGAAATTTTACCTAGAGCTTTTAAAAAGATTTTTCCCCCTCTGTGCCCGCTAAGCAACTGGAGTTTAATCAGAATGGCTACATACCTTTACTAAAAGTTTTGAGAAGACAGAAATCACATTCATATTTAATTATAAGCAATTAAAAATGAATCAGAATAAACAACAGACATGAAGTGTGTTTAAATCAGTTCAATAACAAAATGCTTATCTGTTTACATTGGAATTAGTATGTTTAGTTTAATTAGATCAAAAAAAAAAATAAGGAAAGAGTAAAAATATTTCAAAATATAGTAAGGGTGCTTCCTAGTGGAGAAACGAATACATCTCCCCATATATATATATACCTGTAAGATTACAACTAGTTTTTGGATGAGAGTTTCTGAAATAATTTGTCAACATGTAGGACAAATTGTTAGAGACATCTAGTTGTTAGTAAGAATTTTAAGATGTTTAATACTCTTCACATGACTGCATTCAGTTCTTCTAAAGTACTTAAGAGGCAACTAGATCTTCCGGGAACAACTCATGGCATCTGCTATATATCATTTAGCAGATTTGATGATTTTACAGTGGCAAGGCCATAACATTAAACCTTACTCCACAGAGTTTCAGGAACCTCAAGGATTACTGAAAACAAATACAGAAATAAGCACGAACAAAACCAGCATGTACTAAACCAAGTGCCACCAAGAAATATTTTCTTTTGCTAAATCTAATTTCTTTACACACAAATAAAACCAAAAATTATTAAGAAACTTATGAAAAGACTTGCAGAAATCCACAATATCACCTAGTTTACCATCACTCTGAGAAAAGCCTTTCTGCAAATCACATCCATGCAGAATTCACCCCAAGACTGAAGAACTCAACATCCTGAAGACTTCAGTATTTCTACCCCAGAGAAGCTGCAAAGGGGAACAGACCACCACGAACTCTTAATCAATATACATTGTGTTACAGCAAGCACAGGTACTACCTGGTAAACAGCTCCTGGAAAGAGGAATCGATCCAAAATATGCCTCAAAAAAGGTGAAAAACAAAAGAAATACATCTTAAAAGAAGTGCAGAGATACACAGTATTTACAAGAGGTGGGAAATGTGAAGTGGCCTCTCTACAGAAGCAAAAATAAAGGCAAGTGATTAGCCCGTCGGAATCCCCTCACAGATAGGAGCAGCAGCGTTCAAAAACAGGTGGAAGGAAGTTTTGGGGGTGAACATTTAGAAAAAGGAAAAAAGGCTGCACTAAACAGTAATAATGGCAATGAAGATATTCAAGTGCATGTTGTAGCTATGCAGCTACTAGAAGCAGGAGCTGTGAGCGTCAGGGACTTGTCAGATACTCCTCAAATGCAATTGCTGAAGAGCCAGGGATAGTTTCCAAATAAAAATCCTTTTAACTATACGTATTACAGAAACAATCAAAGCTGCTGTCAATAGTAAGAAAATGCCACCTGGTAGGGCACTGCAAAGCATGGATCTCCAGAAAAGCTGAAAAGCTCCTTGCTAACACAGAATGAAGCTGCTGGGAAGCTGGAAGAAATGAACTACTAAAGTTGTTCTACCATGTCGCTCAAAATTATCATGGAGAGCAAACAGAAAGAGATTCACCTCTGTAGTGCACTGAAGAGGCTGCTTCTCCACTGAGACAGATCACAGAAGTTTAAAAATAAACATAGCAAAAAACTTCCAAGAGCTGGGACTCTGGTTAAAAACACAGACCACCCAATCCCCAACTTCGCTGTTTACCTTAACTCCAGTCTCATTCCAAGATTACTTTTTTAATTATCCTGTATCTGTAAAATGTAACACATCAGATCTTTATAAATGGCTTCTACTACATAGATCAAGCAATTCTTTCTGCACAGGGGGTCAGCACCTTTGCCTCTAAATGGGCCAAAAACACACAAAAATGTTTTGCATGGATGTGCCAGAAGGGACTTTTCATGATCATTTCATGATCTCAGTTTTAATGGACCTGTAAACAGCAGTCTTTGCCTTGAAGCTGCCATGTCTCTTTTTCTCTTCTGATTTCTCGTTTTCTCCCCCACTTTCAGAGCTCGTCTTCAGACCTTTCATCCCTAACTCCCCTGCCTCATTCATCCCATTCTGTCTTGCTTCAGTTGTTTTCAAAGATCCTCTTTCAAGCTGCTTCATGTGCTGGGAAGGGAAATGGTAATTAATGCATTTTACATTTCACTTGGCTGCATTGCTCACATGGAAGAAAGAGGTGAGGCAAGAAGCAGCCATCCCTCCCATGTCACTGTCAGCACTTCACAGAGCCTCTGCTACTTGCCATCACAGCTACAGCTTGCATGAGTACAAAAAACAAAATTCTCAGTAACTAAGCGTCATCTGACCTATTACAAGGGATTAAATATCGTATTAGTTCAGTCCACCATTAGTCTTCAGACTAAATTGTATTGATCATGCACTGTAAACATGTCCGTTGGGCCAGCAGCACCATACAACTGTTTAGCACTCTGTTTTGTTTGAAAAAAATATATATATATAAAAAGATAGATCTTCAAGAGATCAATGGTCTTTGTCCATCCTTCCAGCTCCTGTTCTCCACTACCTCCCCTGCACCACCAGTCCAAACAGAGACTTATTTTTTCACACTTTCAAAGTGCAGTCCGAAGGGAAACTCTTCTCACAACATGAGACTCCTAGGCCACATTCTTACAGATGTACAGGTCAAGTATTTTAAAATCTTCCTGCGAAGTGAGGACTGACAAGTGATCTCTTTTACCTCATTTATTCCCAGGGATTTACCTGCTTGCTGTAGCACACCAGCTGACAAAACTGCTTGAGGTCATATTATGCAGAACTATTTCTGACAAATTCCCCTTTGCAGTTAGGGCTAGTGCTATAAAACATTACCATTTATTCTGCCAGTTGAAGTACCTGGAGAAGAGTTATATTTAAAGAATGGTAGATTTCCAGTGGTATACTTCTTATCACAAACTACGAATATGAGAAGTAAATTGAGAATAAACACTACACTGTGCCATTTACCGTCACAATGAAGCAAGGCTGAGCACGTACCATGACATAAAATGTCTTTCCTATCACTGAAAGACATGCTAAAGAAATCTATTATCTAATTATTCTCCTTTACTTGGCACTCGTTAGAACACATCTGGATATGGCATTCAGTTTTGGTCCTCAAGCACATGAAAAATGCTGCTAAACTTGAACAGGTCTGTCATAGAACTACCCAAATGGTCAGAAGCTGGAGCATGTGCCCTGCGAGGGGATGCTGGGGGCAGTGGGCTTCCTCAGGCTGGAGAAGAGATGGCTTTGGGGCACCTAACATCAGCCTGCAATATCTACAAGGAAGTAATCAAGAAGACAGCGCCAGGTTCTTTTTGCAGGTGCACAGACAGAGAAAGAGACAAATCGTCAAATCATGAAGGAGAGGATGTTCTGACTTGACAAAAAAATAAAAATAAAAAAAATCATGATGACATTCTGTCACTGGAGGTGGTGAAACCCCGATCCTTGGAAGTTTGTGAAACCCAAATGGATAAAGCCCTGAGCAGCCTGGTCTGAATTCAGTGCCAACCATTCTTTGAGCAGGAGGATGGACTAAAGATTCCTGAAGTCCCGCAGTTATTCCATGAAAATATCACACATGAAATAGATGAAGTATTCCTGAAATGCTTCCTACAACCTATAGAGACAAATTTTCATAATTCATCACCCAAATGTAAATGACAAAAATTCAGTCTAAAAAAAGGATAACTATTTGCACATATTTGCCATAAGCTGATTGCTATGGAAGCTGGTGAAAGTCAGCACACAGCTTTCTTAGATGGGACACTTTGGCGGTGGGAATACCTGTAGACTAGTTCTGTAATCACAAATCCACTTTCCAAGCTGGAGGCCTCACACAAACAAGACAATATCCTGCTGTGCGTGTGTGGAGGGAGAGGGGGAGCATATACATATAATATAGGAGCCTTCTACTGCCAGAAGGAAATAAAAAAAAATCCATCCTGAGTCAGTACATTTACTGACTTCAAGCTGAAGACCAACAACAACAAGCTGCATGAACATTCCCAGTAAAGGCATGCAAGAACACAACATTTAGTCTCCTTTCCCCATCCCATTTGCTCTTCACCCTGTTAAGTCCATCAGCATGGCACCAACAAGCCAGCCTGGTGCATACAGAGGTACGTAGCAAATACAAAGCCAAATACATACACACGCTCAAATAGAAAAGAGACAAAGCATAAAGAAGCATGCACAAACCAAGAACAAACGTGCAAGCCTCTCTATTTGTGGTATCTATACTCAATTAGGTGGAGAGAGATGCAGATAAAAACCATGCCAAGTTACCTTCAATGGAATAAGAATAATGTGCTGGGCTGGGCTGGCTTGTGGTTAACCCTGTAGTGCAGGTAAGAACACTGTGCTGACTTGTAGATGGAGTCTGAATTAAACCACTTTCAGGTTTCATACCTGGCCACAGTGCACCTGAATCAGATAAATTGGACCAGTTATAAACAAATATGCTGGGACCAAACAGCATGCTGCTACCTCAGATTAAGATTTTTTGCTTGTCACAAAAGCAAGGAACAAATCACACATGGAAAATGTTTAATTTCTGCATTAGGAAGCCCTGATTGTCAGGCAGCACATGGGTTAGAAGTGCTGACAAAACTCGCTGAAAGAGAAAATTAAAACCACCAACAAGACCAATTTCCAAAGCTTTCAATTAAAAACCCATTAGTGTAACAGTAAGACTCACTGCCACGTAGGTATAAATGAACTGCTAATACCTGTGATGTTTTGGGCTGAGTTTCACAGCATTGTAAATGACCTCAGCTATTACATAGCAAGGCTGGGGTTGGTATCAGTTGATGTCAAGGTCAACACTTCTACTGCTTCACTGGGTTTTGGGTCAAATACTTAAAAACAAGCTAAAAGTCAGTAAAAGAAAAAAAAAGGGGGGGGGATCTGAAAGTTTCCTCTAACTTTTCTGCCATTCTAGAAAGTATTTGTAACAATAATGGCCAAAGCACACATACAGCAATGTGATTTTTAATTTGTATGTACGAGGCACACACAGGAAGTGTGGTTTTAGCTCAGGCACTGTGTTACGGCCTAGTCTGCTGTACTGGTGACAACAGCATCTGACTGCAGTAACTCATCTGGGGCCTGGCTCTTCAGGACTTGTCAGGCGCTTTTTGTTGTTGTTGTTGTTTTGCTTGTTTGTTTTTTGTTTCTGAATTCAAATTTCATCATTTCTGTTTCTTGCAATTGTAAGCCCCAGGAATCCAGCTGGGGTCTGAAAGATGATTGTCAAATACTCAAGACGCTCCAACTTTTCCACCCTCCTGGACCAAGATTTGTTTCAAGGAAGTAGAAAAATTTTCCCTTGGAATAAGGGACTGTGTTTTTAAGTTTGTATAGAAGAAAAGTGCGTTCATTCTTTCAGTACCAGACTGATGGGATAAAAGGATGCTAAGGTCACATTTTTATGGGATTAATGACTCAAAATTATCAACCCAGAGTATGAAATACATCTAGTAGTTAAAGCTGCTGCAGTCCCCATGGCAAAAGTCTAACCTGCCTGGGGTTAACCTACAGCCAGTTAAATGCATTTCTCCTTGGCCTGCAGTAAAAAAGCAGGAATTAGCTCAGAAGATGTACTTTAAAACAAGCAGGAGCGTGCAAAGCAGAGGGACAAAGGGCATCTGGAGCTAGGCACAAAGCTCAGGGCCAGCAGAAAGATCAACCTCTGTCTTAAACCCCTTACAATTCAGGGAGGAAAGCACCAGCATCATGGCTACAAAAAATAATTGCAGCCTTTCAGCTGCTCCAGCAGGATGAGCCATGAGCTACAAGCTCAGAGTCTCTTATGCAGAAGGTCACAGGAGATCCTAGAGCCAGATGAGGAGTATCTCCAAGATCTCACTCCTCATTGCAGCTTTGGTCAGAATCAAATTCTGCAGTGGTTCTTTGAGATTGGGTATGTAGATAAATCAGTCAGTCACCTATGAGTCAAATTAACTCACCCATCTGTCTATCTGTATAGCCACTCAGGGTTTGGTTCTTGTTTTTGTTATGGTTTCAAACCTTGAGAACCTTGATAATCAGCAAACAAAAGCGAAAAACTGATTTAAGGACGATTGCAAACGTATTGCAGAAATTCCATGACAAAACGTATGGGAAACAAATCCTTTAAGGAGAGTAGAAGGCATTGTTTTTGTTTAGTCTGGAAAGGGAATGCTACAGTCTTCAATTAAGTAAGTAATTTTTAGAGAGGACAGTAACCAAAGCTCCTCACAGTGCGAGATAAGTGGACAAGTAGCAAAGGGCATTGATATCAGACATTCACAGAATACACCAAGGTACCTAACCGCTGTGATGGTGAAACACAAACCACCTCTGAATGCTGTAGGATACTCATCATACACTGGGTTTAAAGCCAGATCAAACAGACATGTCAGAGGTTTTCACAGGGTTGGTTGGATGCAAGTGCAGGAGCTAACTCAGGGTGTGTGTGAAGACATCTTTCATACCCAGCTTTCCACGACCGTCTCTTTGTCATCACTCAACGTGCCTTTCTACGTGACGCTCTACATTCTGTTCAGAAAGGCACGCTCTTGCACTGGCAATGCACATCCTTCCCTGTCATCCTGCATTTAGAAACTAGTGCAGCCTCCAAGATGACCAAGAGAGCAGGACGAGATGGATGTAAGACTCCTGCACATCTGATGGCAGCACTGCAGCTGAGGCAGAAGAATGTCATAGGACACATGTACGTACACAGAAAGACCCCACACAGTATAGTCTACCACATGTATGTTTTTCTGGAGTTAATGTAAACCATCACATCCACAATATTTCTAACACAATCTTAAAGCCATGCACATACAGGTTGTATGTCATTACTCTCATTTTAATCTGTTGTTTTTTGTTAAATAAATCTCTCCAGACCACAAACATGTTTTGTGTGCAACAGTCAGCAGAGCACTAAACAACAGAGCACTAATCACAAAAAAAATTATTCCAGCACAAGGACAAGTGACAAACAGGCATATATATGTACACATACATACGTGTGTGTGTGTGTGTATATACACATATATATATACACGTGTATATACACACACACACACAGTAATATATATATGTGTATATACACACACACACACACACAGAAGGCCATCTGTTCTCCAAAGGCAGCACCCTGAACTGAGTGATCTCAGGACTGTGTTTATTTTTGTCAGCTGCTTCAACTTCATGCATAAAGCCTTGCTCCAGTTAAGAAATCCATGATGCCTTCTTTTTGACATAGAAGCAAATGCACAGTAATAAGACACACAAACCTTTGGAGAAGGCCCTTTGATGTGCTGGTAAAACACTTGGCCTTCCTGGCCAAGTTCTCACCTGCTCAATGGAGATACTATGAGCAGACAATTTCTAGACTTTCCTTTGCATCATGCATATTTAATCCTCAACACTCCACCTGACCTGTCCATCTTCTCAGTATGATCACATACGTACTACTCTAGTAATGGAAATCATACTGGAAATGTATGATTTTAATATTTCCCTATTATTATTATTATATTTTATAATATTTTGTATAATATTATTTCCCTATTATTATTATTATATTATAATATAATTCAGAATAAAAAAATTGGGTATTTAATAGTAGTCCATGAAAACTTTACCAATGCATTTCAGTAATTGATCACATTTCAAAAAATATTTAATGGACAAAAGTTGCTATGAAGTTAATAGAAAATGCTGATCTCTTGCCTAGATCTTCAGAAGATACTTTGAATGCAACAGCAGAAATTAACAGTTAATTAACTAATTACTGGCAAATTCCACAGACTTTGAATTAAAAAAAAAAAAGGTAAAAAACCACCACTGCCACCAACAAAACACCACAAAAAAAAAAAAAATCTATCACCCCACCATAAAAATTTCATAGACAGGTCTAAAATACCTTTTTAAAACATCTTGGCCTACAAAACCAAACCAAACCAAAAAATATATATATATATAAAAAAGGAAACACAGCACAGAAAAATAGAGAAGCAGCCTCAGTGCACTGTCCACAACAAACTGCCAATAAACAAACAAGTGAAGGAAATGACACCACCAGCCACTGTTCAGATGCACCAGAAGATCCTGAAAGCAAAGGGTAGGCACCCTGGGAAGAAGAGTACATTCCAATGACCATACCACAGAGTCAGGCACTGTCTGTCAGTAGCTGACTGTTTGAGAACACCCAACACTAATTCACAAAAAAAAAAGACGAGTACGGTGTTTAGAAAGACAGCAGACAAACTACAGTGGCAACTGAAGACTTGGGTCTGGACATGATGGAAGACAGACTAGATGATCTTCAAAGGTCCCTCCCAACCCAAACCACTCTACAATTCTGTGACATCAGCATCAAAACTCTCCATGCTCATTCATCTTTCCAGGGACAAGCTTTCCTGAAGGAATGACTGGAGAGGTCAGAAATCACAACGGACATATTTGAACCTTACTGAAGGGACTGCGCTAGAAGTGCAGAAGCAGCAAACATCAACAGTCACCCAAATGCCCCTCTTCTCCCGAAGAGCCTCAAGTCTCTCTTTAAAACAGATCTCACACCCTCAAAGCTCCTACTTCATGTCTTTCAAGCAGTTACAACAACATATCTCAGCATTAATACAGTGCTAATGTGATTTGGGAAACACTGATTAAACCCTAATGAGCCAGCTACTACAGAATTATCATTATATTCCTAAGGATACCTCAATGACAAACAAAAACTCCTTTCCAATAATTCCAGCTATATGGGGGGAGAGCGAGAAGAAAAGGGGCTGGAGGGGAAGAAGTGCATATATAAGTTTTACATGTTGACCATTTTCATAAAGATAACAATTTGTGCCAAATTACATGGTAATGTAGCATATCTAATAAGAATGAGCACAGTTGCATCTGCTTTTCCACACCATCTTTTAAAAATACCATGACATATCTGTTGTTTTGTAATATATATATAAAAGTACTGGCTCTGTCAGTGGCTAGCAAGCCATACATGTTGCTTTGTTTTTATAAAATTAGTTCAGCTATAAAAACCACTGTTTTACACCCAGAATTCCTAAGATTTTAGCACTGAAAATAAATTGGCAAGAGGCTCTGTTAAAATAGCTATAGCTATGCAATATGACCACAACCCCCCAAAACAAACGTTTCATTGCTATCTCACAGCTGCACAGCTCACTGACAACATGTTTTCTTCTGTGTTACCTGTGTGGAAGGGTGATGCTCTCCCCTCTCATTAGAGCTAGGCACTGAGGGGCAAAACAGCCTCCGCCACCACACATTTTTGAGAGCTGGCAACATCACACATTTTCATACATGAAACCAAGCAGAGCAAGATCAAAAATGAAAAGAGAAGTTTAAATGTTAATTTGTAATAATCAGTCACATAATTTCATAATTTCTTAACCATTTTTTTCTCCATCATCTGTCACTTCAACATATAGAGCATGAGAAAAGACCAGATAGCTCCTTTCACTAACTCACATCTCTCAGATGTAGATGTTTCTGTCTGCACTACTCATCCCCAACACCCTTTATACTTCACAGAGAAAAACAGCAATTATATTCTAAAACAGACCAAGACCCCAGGAGGTGTGTCTTTCTCTCCATGCTCTATAAGGGAAGCACGTGGTGAATAGCTCAAAACCTCGCCATCACGCTTTAGATGCTCAGTTACAACAGGACACTTATCCTCCAATCATTTGCAAAAATTGCAATGGCTGATAGAGGGAGGGCTCAAGTATCAGAGCAACTTAAGCAAACTTATTTTTTGAGAAAACTCAAGAGACATTTTAGCATGAAATCTGCATTTGGTGAAACATGAGATAACAAAACAAGTCTTATTCCTGGCCAGCAAAAAGGAAAGGAAAAATATCTTCAAGCAGAGATGATCTAGTACGAGGCTTTGCATGTTTTCACTGACCAGGAAACTGCACAAATGCAGCTATGACTGGAAAAAATGATGACCCCAAACTATGAAACATCTGGCAAGCTTCATGGATAGACTTTCAAATTACTGGCCAGGAAAACAACTTTGGGAAAACAGGATTTTATAATATTAAGTCCCATCTAGAGGTATCTCCCACTAAATCAGAGCTATTGCCACAAAAACTCTTTCTCATCTTTCACTTAAATCCACAATTTAAGCCAGGCATGTGCTCTTCTATATGCTTTTCTCTCTAATACATCTGGTTAAACTTAACATTTGCTTTTTAATGAGACACAAAACAGCAACTACAGGCACTAAAAGTTTTTGAAAATTTACTTCTTACCGAAAGGAGGTAGTCCGTAGGTTTGGGTGGTCTGGGGGTAGATCGTGTAGGGCTGAGATTGCTGTAGTGCTTGGTACTGAGTCTGACCAGGGTAAGGGCTCATTGTTTCCGATACAGGTACAGAAAGAATATGTGCATATGGCCTTATTAAAAAGAAGGAAAACAAAAAACAAAAAAAACACACTATTTACCTTATGCAGCTTTCAACCTCCGAGCCAGAAAACACCTTATTAAATTGCTTCAGAAAGAAGAAACAATTCACACTGACACACACTCTCAGTGTAACACCCACTCGCGTTTCCTAATCTGACAGGCTCTTGGTTTGCTTGTTTCTTCCGGTGAAACCAGAGGAAGCTCTCTCCTTCACAGCAACAGAACACTACTTCTTTCTTCAGGACTGGGAAGGCAAGGGGAGAGGGGAAGAAAGAACTCCCTTTTCCAATAGGCATAAGCAGTTAGTTTCAATCATCATGCCTCCCAGCATCGATTTCTAAAGCTAATATTGTATAGCACTACGTATCAGAACTAATGGAACAAAGAGACTATACAAAAGTAAGCATGGGGGATTTAGACCTACTATTCTGTGCTATGGGGAAAAACTATTAACATCCCCAAATGTGGTAAACAACCAGCAAAATCTCATACTTCCCTTATATTCATTTATGTCTGCCTATTCCTCAAATACTACAGGCAGTATTCAACAAGACTATTGTGTTGCTAATTACTTGAAGATGCTCCTTCATCCTTGTGAAGGTAAGACAGTGGCCACTGAAGCCAAAGGGTGACTTCTACTAGCTTCAGTGTCCACAGCAGTCTGTTGCCTAGCAGATATGAAAGCGCAAGTAAAGCATAACAGAAACGCATAAAGATGCAAAATATTACTTCAGAAAGGAGTTACAACATTTTATAACAATTGTTCAACTTACTTTGTAGAATACATTTGTGAGGTATAATCATTTGATGACCTTGGGATATAATCTGTGCATGTCATAACTGGAAAAAAATAGTTTATATAATTACACAGGAGATTTCAAAACCCAACAATTAATGTCAATTAAGTATCACCATATACAGTCCATTTTAACCAACACACAGTATTTAACAAAAGTTTTTTAGTTCCTTGGATATCTGTTTTAAAGTGAATTCTGAAAAAAAAATGGAGCATTAAAACATAACAAAAATGTTCTTGCTGATTCACAGCAGGTAAATGCTTGTCAGTACCACTTCTCCCTTTGTAAGCGTGCTTCCTCTTTACCACCTGGTGCCGTCAGCTTTTGCAATTATCATTACAAAACCTCGACTTCAGCCCCAGCCCCCATGCTTGCACATACCAAATGGCCTTCATGTGCACCAAGGTTAATGTTTCATTTCTGTACCCTGGATCAGACACCTGAGCAGGTGTCGGTTTTGCTAAGCGTCTCTCTTCTCCCTCCCCAAGCCTGGGCAGTGCCCAGGCCTGGCATAGTACAGCTCATTTTCTGCTTACACAGGAGTTCGCAGGCTCATTTTCTCACATGAACTCAGTATGACTCCTACCAAAGAAGTAAGAGCAGAGAACATGCTTCCCTGCGTACTGCCTGTACCCACAGCATGGCTCCAACAACCTTTCTTTCTTTGGAAGAGCTGTTGCCAGCTTAACAAACTCAATCCCACAGACCATGGGCTGAGCACAGTGCACAAAGCTCAGAGTCCGAAAACGGATGACCTCAAAAGAAATTTGACAACTGCATGTAATGGAACGCTTCTGGTTTTTAACATTGTCTACAGTTCTAGAATACCTCTTATGAGACAGTTCTCAATGATAACACTGGGGTGGAAAAGGGTGCCATTAAAAATATTGAATTCAGATGAGCACACCCGATAAATACTCAGTTGTCCATCAAACTAGGGAAGTGAGGATGTGCAGGACCCCTTGCACAGTTTCTAGCACCATACAGCCCCTCTCTTGCACAACACCTCCATAGAGGACTATGGTGCAGTCACCTCCAAGCTAAACATAATTTTTGGCTGTAAGTCTGTAGAGTGCATGGGTTTATCAGTTCAGTTCTAAAAGCACCATACCCAAATTCTTAGCAAACACAGCTGTGCTGCTTATGGATCCATACAACTTCTAGAATTTCTAAATGCCTTATCCAGATAGACAGCAGATTTTGCAGGCTAAAACTTCTGATAACTCCCAGAACTGCAACAGCACATTGATTAAAACAGCAAACATGCAATCAGTTAGCAATGGGAAGTTATACATTACATATTTTCAACTAAGTTGAACTGATTTACAGTTTTAAGTAACTACAGGCAGTCAGAATTATTCTGCACAGAAATTTACTTCCATAACAGCCCCAGCCCTCTTTTTCTAAAGGGGAGGATAGATTCCACCTCTCACTTACTATGCAATCTTTTTAATTTTCTGCCTCAGTTTCCCCTCCACTTACTTTAAGGAATTTCTGCAGACATTAGATAAAGTTCAGAGTCTAAGACTAAGTGTATAGTGTATTATTAGGGAAAAAAACAAACAAACAAAAAAAAACCAGCTGTGTAGAGATAATGACTTACAAAACTAATATCTTTTATAATGGGCATTATTATTGATCAACACAACCCTTCTCTGAAGAAAAACAATACACGAGGCAGGTAAGACATAGCAGTAACCAGCAGCAAGTTTGGGGACAGTAATACAGAGGTAGATAGCAAATGGTATCTGCATACTATCGGCCACACAAAGAGAGGCATTAGTGCTTTGTTAGCACCACAGGAAACCTTCACCTTACAACTGATAGTGAGGATAGGCAAAAGATTACTAGGAGGAGACAAAGCTAGTACTTGATGAAGCAAAATAGTAAGACCACTGAAAGAAATGAGGAAAGACACCAAGAGCAGAAAAACTCTGAGATACTTACTCTCACTTGACATGGAAAGGTTTGAACCAAGGTTTGAAGATTCAGGTTTCTGATCGCTGACTTCTGTGTTGCTCACATGACTGCTAGGACAAATAAAGGCTAATCATTAGCATTACGAACCTTTGCATTAACATCCTTGGGCATCTTAACCCTGGGTTTCAGCCTTCCAAACTGAGAGAAACTGATTCTTAACAGAAACTAGCTCTGCACTCTTTGATATTGCACACATACATCCTAAGAGACAGATCTGCAACTCTGATTAGACATTAAACTGTCATCACCTTCAGCATGTTAACTCACCAACTGATCTCTGGATACGGGGCTATATCTTCACTGACAGCTCACCAGACCTAGCAACTTGGTGCTGCTGCCCGCAGTGCTAAGTATGAACTTTCCTCCTGGCCACCTAAACCCTGCAGTTCAGGCACCTACCAGGCTCTTCCATGAGAGTTTAATTTGCTAAACCAGCACAAAAAATCATGGAGTTGTTTTTGCTTGGACAATAGACTAAAACTTGGTGCAGGGGGTGAACTACAAGCAGGAACTCCTCCTCTCAGGAGCAATAGCCTATTATGTTGTCTCCCTCACCTTGTAAAACTGCAGTCTGAAAACATCTGAATAAAACAGATGTCTCAAAACTTTGTGAAAAGCTGTGTTGCAGAACTAAAAATAATAAAATTAACAATAAAATGAAAAAAGTAAAAAAGTAATTTCATTAAGAAATTAAATGTTCTTCATACTCTACATACAACACCAACACTTACGTGTAACTAAAATATCGCATTAAAAATTCAATATAATCTAGTAATTGGGCAAACATTTCTAAAGTATAAAACTGACACCCATCTCAAGGACGCTTAAACACTGGCCTTCAGGGCCAAACCCAGCCACAAGGCAACCTCCCTTGCAAGTGAGAGTCTGAGACAATAGAGCCACAACACACCACTCCCTGCAGCATCGGCTTAGGTCCTGTAGGCACAGGGGAGGAAGAAGCTGAGGAGAAAGCAATTAACCAGCAATGCCCATGGAGCTCCATCCACCCCAGGACTGCCACCTCCTGGCTGTGACAGCCCCTTGCTGCCCTGCTCCTTGTGACTGATGGGTTTGAGATAACCCCCTAAGGCTGGGAGGCAGTGCCAGGCAGGGAGTACAGCTCTCCTGGTAGAGCATGAGGGTATGGAAAGAGCTGAGTAGTGAGTGTTTGATTTCTCACACATGTAAGAATTCTTTCCTTCAGCTGGAGAGAAGGAATGAAGCTTGATCAAAATGCATTATCTGGCTTTTTCCCAAAAAAAAAAACTTTATAAATGAGAATCCTTGATTTTTATTTTTTTAACATTAGTAGCTGAACTCACTTCGATAACATATTTTGAGTTTTGCAAGAAAATAACACTTTTGTGAAGACTTGGGGCATGTGTCTACTATTATTCTTGGGGAAAACAATCCTGTGATTCTGTGGCACAGATAGTCAAGTCAGTGGCTGCTAAATTGCATGTAGTTTGTAAACAGATTGAGAGCTATAGAGCTACTTCTTGAGATCACTTCCTACGGAAAATGTAATAGCAGATAAAATAAAATTTCTGGTTATACCATAATTGCCCATGTTTCCTCTCTTTCTCATTGCTACTCCACTACTCACATACCTGTGCTTGTGGGACACATTCATCACAAGCGCTTTCATCAGAAACAATTTTTCAGTTCTCCCCAGCTCACAGAGAAATTGTCACTTGTACTACAACTGCCTTATACCACAGAGAGGTTCCCACAGACCAGCCTTATAAACAGAGCATGGTATATTCAAAGGGTTAAACTCTCTTATGCAGCTGGATGCCAGGACAGACTATTCCCACTAGTTACAGTCCTTCCCTTCCCCACTTGCAGAATTGAGTTAAAACAAATAAATTCAAAGTACTGACATAGCTGAAAATCACGCTGTTGTAGAGAAAGAGGTCTAATTATTTTAAAGTATTTCATAGGTTATGCTTACAATCAAACATAGATTTATCAAAATAGAACAACAGTATTTAAGCAGAACTACGATTAGGTTACAAATGCCCCCCATCCCCCTTTCTATTTTTAAATACTATACAAGGATGTTTACACTCAATAGGGCTGAATCCTGGGGCCACTAGTGTCTGTAGGAAAGCGGTGTGATGGGTAAAGGAGAACCCACACCCTTCACACCAGCGTTCAGACCTGGCTGTGGTGCCATCGATAGAGAGCAGAGGCACTCCTGGGCTAGGCTCATCTCACCTGACACTGGCTGGAAATGGAGCTTGCAGCAATTAGCTCAAGTTTCTAACTTTTAGGCACACAATGAATTTCACACACTGTTTACTCACTGTTTCCTGTCAAACTTTTTCCTTCAATATTCTTTTTTTAATAAGTATATAGCTACTAATATAATTCCGGGCTTCCATATACTACACCCACTCCTAGATGCATGGCACGCACTCTCCTCACTCACATTGGAATGTCAAAGGATCCACAAAGAAATCTTTCTTCAGTTGTTGCTGTTACTCACAGGAACAGAATAAAACCAAGTATAGCCATTCTCTGTACATATAATAATTGTGATTAACTCCTGAACACGAGAAAACTTCTACTATGCAAAAATAGTGCAATAGAACAGCTTTAAACAAAAGACGCTATCAGATTAAGAGCTTTTAATTTCTTAAAACAGTCATCCACATGGTTTTGCTGAGAAACGTAGCTCAGATTTATTGAGTCTGTCAGAAGAAATGCATGTTACATGCAGTGCACAACAGCCTCATCAGATTCTGTGAACAACACGATGCTTGATGATGCAATTAAAACTCTCTGTAGTTAGTTTTATAAAAGCTTAACACCAATCAGCATTATTTTTTTTTTAATTGGGAACTTAACCTCAAAATTATAGCCAATACAAAACTGAGTTATATTTGCCCTCTGCGACAAATACAGTAATATGCAAGCTTCTAAATTGGAAGTTTATAATCATATACAAGCACTAATAATTGTTCCATGCTAAAATCAAATTCAAAATTGCGTACCTCAAGCTTTGTTCTCTAGATTCCTGCATCTTGGCTTTTTTCACCTGCAAAGACAGAAATGTTCGGAGACACAACTAAAAAGAGCTGTCCTTGACAGAATCCACATACACAGACTTCCATTAGCAGATCACAACTGGTTACTATAGTGTTCGCATTAGTATCTAAATACAGAAAGCCTTGCATTGAACTCCAGAGCTAACCAGTGTAACCATGGATTCTTCATCTCAAAACAATCTTTTTCTAAATTAGAAAAGAAGTTCTGCAACTGAATGTATTAGCAAATTGCCATGTTCCTTAAATAAATAACAGGAGAGGATATATACAGCTACTTAATCTGATAAGGACTATTGTATAGAAATTAGATAAAAGAGCCATAATTAGTTGTTGTTGTTGTTGTTGTTTTTGTTGTTTGTTTGTTTTGTTTTAAATCTTATTCTGCATAATTTGGTACAGCTGCCAAAGGCTGCTGTTCCTTGCTCTTTCTTTAAGTAATGTACAAAGATAGGAACTTAAATATTTTTCCTGTCCATATCAGTAATAACAGGAGCTCTGATTTTCATTTCTGAATAAAAACAATATAGTTGAATCCAGTTCCCACAGAGCGTATTATACACCTGGAAGTACTGCCTTGAGCACAAGTTTGGTTTCTTGCATGCAGGCTACAAATACTATTTTGAAATTCTGGGTGGGATGAAAGGGTTAGTTTTTTTAACCTGTAGCTCTTTGAGCAAGGTGTTCCTGTGATACTCTGGCTTTACTTCCCCTGTCTCCTCCCTCTAACAGAAAGTTTTGCAGCCTTCCAAACCCCTGGAACACCTTTAGATGCCAACTATCCTGTTTCTGTACCGAAGCTGCACTCCGTTCATCCCAGTTCCTGCAGGGCACTTAGGATGCAGCAATTTTTAGCATCTCTCTTCTGCAAATCTTGAAACTTGGTGGGATGCAAAAACTATTTCCTGCCCATCACTAATCCTTGCAATTTACACTACAAATTTAAGTGTGAGGGAACGGTTTTAAACATAGCCTTTCACGGACTTGGAAAACATTTTTTCATTCTCCTGACACATGTTGTAAAATATTTAATGCAGGAACAGCACCTAGAAACAACAACTTAAGGATGATGTCAGGGCACAACAGGAGAGCTCTGTCACGATGCACTATCCTCCCAACTGAGCCCTGCAAGACCAAACTCCAACCTCGAGCCTTACATGGGGTCCCTATTTATCCTCTCCTGTATAAACCTTAAAAAAGCCTGCTGAAAGTTCTGCCAGAACCTCAACACACATACTTCCCTGACATTTCCTGACAAACCTCTATTTTTTTTGTGTGTCCCCTCTCAAGTGAAGAATCGCATTTTGAAAACTTTTCATGCAGGAGAAGGCAGTTCACTGCTTTTAAAAACAAAAAAGGGAAAAGAAAAAAGGGAAAAGGAAATCAAAAAGATGTGGTCCACCTCAGTGATCCAAATTTCATCTTCATCAACTTCAGTTTCACTGAGCTGTTTTGTTGCACTAGAATGAATGACATGTCTAGTAAGGTGCATCTTTGCTCCCACCTCAATCTTCCTATTCCACTGTCAGTTTGGAGGTTATGTTGATTAAAAAAAAAAAATAAAAATACTGCTGCCCAAATTACTCTTGGTGCTGGAAGACTCTGGTTCTGCCACAGATCTAACAGCTGTAAGGCACAGTTGTACTTTTAGAGTCAGAACTGAAGTGGAAACAAAATTTTCCTCATGCTGTCAAAATAACAGTTGCTGTACAATAGAATCCAATTCCCAGACTGATACTCAGACTAATTTTTAAGCCAGAATGGAAACACGAACCCCTCCCCACTTACAACTAACCAACAAACAAGATGATGACTTCTTGAAGCAAACACCGCCAAAGCAATTTAAGTCCACGGCAATGCCATTGTGAGCAGAGTCAGGAATGTGTACACTTGTCAAGGCTGCAGAATTTTAACTGCCATCCCTATGTGCTCTCCATGTCACTGACTCTGTTTTGCAATTGCTGTCCAATATGAGAAGTCATCCCAAACCTTGAGCAACTCAATGGATGTCTGCAATGAGTAACACAAGTTCACAATCCCTTTTTAAAAGATTTTTATAATTTTCTGGCATTTGGGATTAAATTAAAGCATTATAAAATAACTGCATGCATTCATAATGCATTCATTAAAGATTACAATAGAAATATTACTTCTTTTAGCACTTTTAGCACTTATTACTTAATAGCACTATTATTTTTTGTCATCAGAAAGGTGGGTGGGTCACTTTTGACCATTTTTCCCCAAATTTCCCTTTTCTCTCTTACTTTGCACGTCTGTTTTTTTTAGCACTGAGTTGCACACACAAAATATTCCATTTTAGTTCAGCCCTGAAAAAGGAAGAAATATTTGAAAAACAGACACGAAGATCTTGCCTGTTTAACATCCATGGCAGCAGTATGTGGGGTAAGTCTAACATCCATGGCAGCAGTATGTGGGGTAAGTCTAACATTTGATTACCAACTACATACTGTGTACATTTGGACCATTTTTCATTTTTTTCACCACAGGTCCATACCAACATAAGTAAATGACTTGATTTTGGCTTTTCTTTTTCTTTGCTTCTTTTGAGGGGTAGGAAGGGGGAAGTAAAATACATTAAACTCAAAGTCTGGTGACTTCTATATAGGCTCCTTTCTGGATTCAGTTATCAACAGTTTGCAATAAACATTATTTTTAGAATAAACATACTAATCCTCTTGCCATCATTAAGAAAAGCAAAATCATTTGTTAAAGAAAACAAGTTTGTACAATATAAATTCTGGGCTACTAGGCAGAAAGGATATTAAGTTGGCTTTTTTATTAGTAAAATTAACTTGTTTAAAGAATGATTTCACTAACAAAACAATACTTTTTCCTTCCTCCTGTAAGAATATGCCACTATATTCAAAATTTCATCTCATTCAACAGTTGTGATCAATATAGTCTCAAATTCCGTCTCAGACTGGCATAAGGTATATAAATTAAATTATTAAGAAAATTTTCAGCAGACAATTACATAAGAATCTGTTTATAGATAATGCTCTCGTGTACCAAAACCAAGCTGCATTCAGTCTCTTATGCCCTAAGGAATAAAGTTCTATGAAGACAATTTTGATTGTATAAGGATGTAATTAACAGATATTCCTTCTTCTCTATACACATTTAATTCAGTTTTAAATCCAACAAATATATGGAGTTCAAAGTTTTTAATCTAGAAAAAAAACTTTAAATGGTCTGATTTTCTGAGCAAAGCAATTGTAGACATATTCTTACATAGAAAGATTACAGAATTCAGGCATGCAAAAATATTCCTTTTTTTTTTTTTTTTTTTTACTGTTGTGTGTGTAGTAAATTACATGCATAACAAGTTTTATTAACAGTAAAATGATTTTACACCTCTAGATAAATACAGTAAATATAAGGTTTATTGTCTATTATTAATTGAAATAACTATACTGAATTTATGAGATCACTTATTAGTTTTACAGGTTCATTTTTAGTATTTTTAAATGTACTTACTGGTTGTTCGGGTAAATCTTGTGGCTCTTCCATGGGTATTACTATTTTAATGCTTAAATGATTCAAATCGTGTGTTCCTCAGCAGTCTTCAAAGTCTGTCAAAAAAGGTGTTCATAGCTTTATGTACTTTTGGGGGTCTTATCATTTAGGCTATCAGAGAACATTAATTGTTATATATTCCACCCACAAGCTTTCTAAACTCATGTTGCCATCTCCCATGTAAGAGACAAAATTCATATATGGAAAGATTTCATAAACAAGGGATTTAGCTTTAAGCTTCAAGATCCAAACAGACATTTTTAATCACGTGGCACATTTCTACAACACTCACTTGTACCATAGTGACTACAGAAGCTAATGTATCAATCAGACATGCACCATGATTTTAAAGACACTTTAAATGATCAAGTCTGGTCTACTAGGTCAGTAAACACAGTGATTCAATCTAACCTGTTTTAATTTAGAACATTTATATAACAAACAAAAAAAAAATCAGGACAAGACCGTACACCTAAATGTATTTACATGCAGTACTGTCTATTGCCAAATTCACAATGGAAGTTTATTATTTCAATTGCATCCTTCAAGAAGAGGAGTTTGACTAACATTTGCTTCCAAAATATAACATTTATTTTAGATAGTAACCCAGTAGTATTTACCATAGAGTTCTTATATACTATACCAAACAGCTGCTGTACCTCAGGTTTTAAAACGGTGAAAAGGAAATGTTGTGAGTTATTGTCACAACCTTATTAACTTTTGCAACTTGCTGAACAAAAGATAAAGATGTGTCCTCTACAGCTTTCTCCTCTACCTGACTACTACCCATAAATGATGTTTTCCTATTTATTCCATTGCTCTTCTTTGACCCCCTCTTCTCAGAGCCAATTTATTAAACACAAACTCTAACCTCTTCAGGCAAGCTCTATCTCAGCCATACCAAAAGCAAGGAGACATTTCTGCTCCCTCCCCGGCAGAGCTTTCCCTTACATATGGAAACATGTCTGTTATTGCACACAGAGCAAAATCCTAAATGTATTACGGCAATTAGAAAAAATACTGAAATACACTTAGTGGTTTGGAAGAAACAAAACACAGCAACAATACATGTACCTACTCTACAGAGTTAACAATCTACTCCTGCCTCCCAGCCATGAAACTTTGCTTTAAATCTTGGTGGAAATGCAAAAGGCTATTTACTCAGCTCTGCTTTCTCATTCCTTTCCATTTTCACATCCTGTCTAGAGCTTTCAAGCACCTTCACAATATGAAGTCCTGCCCTTGAAAACAGATTGCACAAGTTAACAGAAACAATTTTCCAGTGTCCCCAAAACAACTGCTACTTCCCTCTCCTGACCCCTGCCAGACCTACCTGAACTCTTAGCTTATACATCTAGTCCACTCTCAGACCTGGGCGGCTGCTGTGAAGCACTCCACTCCAACCATGTGGAGGCTTTGGAGGCTGGAATAATTTCATATTATCCATGAAAACACGTATGATTTATTTTCCCTTAACAGAGGAAAGGTAAAGGTCTTAAATGCCAGGGTAGAATTTCATTGAGGATTTGAGTATTTTCCAAGGTTACCTCCATAATCAAAGGCTACTTATTCTTACCTTTACTGCCTTAACTGTAAAACAGCTGAAGTTACAGTAAGACATTTCAATAGCTCAGTTTCTTCTCCAATGAGTCTACATACATACAAGAAAGTGTGCAAATTACCATTGTCACCATTACCATTTTTCCCTACCAGTTTTGTTATTATTTTAAATATAAAATCTTATTTCCTTTTTATTATAACAGGAATAATACAGGAAAATCAAGACAGAAGAAAAACAGTGGCGTTCAAAGATTAGGAATAGCAGAGTGGAATACAACTGCCAACTGAAACTATGTTTGATTTTGATATCAACAAGCCCAGTCCTGTCCCTTGTCCTTTGGTTTTGTTATTTGACACCGTTTCATTGTGTAATTACTTAAAAAAATCCCAAACTAAACTCTTCAGTATGAAAAAAGATTTCAAATCAAGCTTTGACCCATACAGCAGTAGCCTCATTTTTGACATTTTGTTTTACATTTTGTTTTAAAGCTGTGAGCAGTGCTTTCATTTTGTTTTTGAGAGGTCACTAAGTAATAAGACAAAACGATTCCAAGAGTTCACATTGGAACATAGAACCGCATCACGGAAAGGCTTGGGTTGGAAGGGACCTTACAGATCTTCTAACTTCAACCCCCCTGCCATAGGCAGGGAATGTGTTAGATACAGTATTCAACAAAACTCTTTCCAAAAGACATGGGCGCCTTGTAGCACCTGGAAGCAAAAGAACAAAGCAAGGTAGATGAGCAGTAACTTCTTGCTTAGATGAGAAGGGAAAACTTTACCTCTAGTGGCTTCACACTGCCTTCTAGAGAATATCCCATCCCTTCGGAAACGGCAGGTTGGGCAGAAGGCCTGTTGCAAAGATCTAGTGTTCATAGCTGTTTTTACAGAGAAGCAGGCTGAACAACTAGAAGAAACAGCATGCATTCCTGGGTAACAAGGATGTGATTAGCCACTACACCTGCACTAGCTGGAAGTGATAGAGTCTTTCTCTAGCAAATGCTTCCTACACCACAAACAATTTAAGCTGACAAAACTGGAACTGCTGCTGAAGGAAGGGTTCTTGCTTCTCCCTTACCTCCAGCAACCCACTCTGGCTCGCCTGATATCCCTTCCTTTGTCTGGCAAAGCATTTGTGTGGCTGAGCAGCAGTCTGCATCTGATCTTGTTCTAGGGAAAAAAACAAACAAACAGGAAAGAGCCACCCAAACACAGCACTTCTGCCAGATACTTCAAGTGGGACCAGCTCCAATCTTACACAGTCCCATGCTTAGAGGATCCACAAGGGAGGAAAAGGTGCTAGAGCATGCAAGCAGTAGAGGAAAATGCCCTTTTTCATTAATAGCCACTGTGACATCATGGTTTCATTTACTGTTTCACTTATGTCTCACTTTGGAAAAACTGGGGACACTAAGTCACTGCGATATACCTATGGCTCAGCAGCCTTTCCATCTGCATCATCTGCCCACCTGCCAGCTTCTGCAGAACATCTTCATGACCTCTCAGGCTGGCCACAGCCGCGAGGCAGACCAGGAGCTCACCCTGCTGCTGCTGGCACCCACAGGCACAGGGCTGTGCAGGGAGCTGCCTTGCTCACTGCTCCTGAGTGCGGCTGCCAGCAGTTTCAGCGCAGACACCCCAGGAAAGAGGATTCAGGGAGCAGCTGTTCTGGCCACGTTGGCTTCGCTGGCAGCACACTCCAGCAGGGCTAATCCCCCCACTTGGGGCAGCACGTTGCCCTCTGGCCACCCCAAGCAGCTCCGGGCACTACAAGCTGCCTCCAAGCTGGGGTCAGCGCCAACAGCACAGCGCAGGGCTTGGGTTTCCAAAAACAAACCCAGCACCTTGCACCTGCTCAGTGTGAACTACCTTGGACTATTACCTTACCCGGCAAACAGCTCTCCCTGAACAAAGTTGATTTTTAAAATCTGAAGACAGACAAATTATTATTTTTTTTTCAGCATCTCAAATCCCAGATTTATAACTTACATAAAACTCGAGGCATCTGTGTTTTAGGTAAGTTCACCACACAGTTTCTAATTCTTTTAAACCATAAGCAACTACAACGGAAGAGATACCAAAACAGATCTTCAGTATCTTTAGTTCCACGGAAACTCCAAATCATTGCAGTGACACCCGTGACCAGAGGTGACAATGTAATCACTCTGCAGAGGAACAGCGGCTGCCACCAGTTCTGCTCCCCCTTCCCATACAAAACCACCACTTCCCACAGGTGGTTCCACTACTGCTTGCTAACATCTGAAAACAAATCAGTGATTAACAGCTTCGGGAACAGCTGGGTTTGGTCACTTTTTCTGTTTACATCTGTATTTTCTTTCTTATTTTATTGCTTGTGAGGGGAGGTCTGAGAAGTTGCTTCTGATGTCAGAATACTTCCACGGGCCACTAGGCTTATGAATGAAAAAGCCTGTACAAAAGATAACCGAGTGTGCTGCAAAGCATCATGTAGCTTAGTGAGATGAAAAATATTCAGAACAATGAAAGAGTCAGGACTTATACTCTGGAAAACTGGCAAAATGTTTTTTTTTTTCCCCTAAAGGGTATGGTTTTCATTATTTATCCGATGAAATTTTTTTGTAATATCTGACTTAAACAATATTTTAAAATTTATTTGAGACTTGCTGAATAGTGATCCTAGTTTAATTCCAACTTGCCCAGAACACCAACAATGTAAAATATCCTGGATAGGTGTTTTGCACATTATTTTATCTTGCTCACTCAATTTATTGAAACATACTATATAAATTTCAAAACAAGGCATTAAAGCATAGATATGGAAAAGAGAATTACACAGATTAGTTGTGTCTTCTGTTCTGCATAATATCACTATGATACTAATTCCCAGTTAAGAGCCCTGGCAAGCTATGTACAGTTTCTTGCACTAAAACTTGGATTAAAAGGCCCCAAATGCAAAGTCTAGCTTGATTATTTTTTTTAGAACTAGAAATTATAGATATAATTTGCAAAAGCTACCTGCTACTAGCATCAGGCTAGACTGCTAGTTCTTTTCATTCTGTTCTTTTCAAGCTCATCTGATTTGGCTTTCAATACAAAATTTCGGCTGAGGAACAGTTCTGTCAAGCTGCAAATAATTAAAGTCAAGGATACTGTGATAAAACCAACAAGCTGTAATTATAGCGATTAGAAATAAAGCTGCTTGAATATGGTTTTATATTACTTTAAAATAGCCACTATTTCCCTTAGGGAAAAAAAAAAAATTAGTTGGTCTAGTGAAATTAAAGCTATTAAATAGAAAGTTGAAATGAAATGTTTTGTACGTTTATACATAATAATGTGATCTGTGCACTTACTTCCATTCCTTATTTACTCAAGGGCCAGCAGATTATCACGGAGAGCAATGGATATAAGAATTAAGCAAAAGAGGAGTCTAAGCTTCTTCTATTTTCCACTGGAGCATTTCGTGGCAATCTGTCCCATTCTGCCACACTATGCACACACAGGATCACAGAGTTCAGCCAAAGTGATTTAAACTCTCACCCAACCAGAGCAGGATTTCTCCTGGCTATACGCTTTTACTTTGTGCTACTCTGGGTGTCATCCCACTTTGGTCAGAGGAGCAGAACCTGGCACAGTGGGATGTGGTGAATACCTCCCCCCCAACATTTTTTTTATTTTTATTTTTAAGTTTTATTAAGTACAAAATGAAGAAAAAGAGAGAAGAGACATACTAACATTACTATACACTGCACAGCTACCAAGTGCTTTTTATTCTGCAGGTTCATCACCTGAGTTTTAATCTTGAGACAAAATAGGCTAGCCACCAGCTCCCACCACACAGGGCATGAGCTGTTGTTTGGGTAGAACTTTCTTGTTCGATGGGAAGCTTCTTGACAACCTCCTCCTTCCCCCACACGCCAGCATCCTCATATCCAACAGTGATACTATTTCACTAGCCAAGCTGCCAAAATACTTTCAAATTGAAATCCAAACCAGCCAAGCTAACTTTCTGTCTACACCAAGAAAGCAAACCCAGACCTCTTCCCATTTTTATGGGGTCTCTTTGGAAGGTCTGGCAAGAACAGGTGTTCACCTCAAGTTCTGAAGAATTTCCCACTTTGTTTTTAAACAGCCTGAATAAAGATCACAGAAAATGACAGCATCAGTCTGGTTCCTGGGTTGGTTTGTAAAATAATGGCTCCTTAAGCTGCTGTCAGGAATTGAACAATTTTGAGTACTACACTTCACTTTTCCTTCCTTCAGGCAAAAAGAAGATAATGCTTTTACAATGTTGTACCATTGTTGTACACGATGCAAACAAACTGAATGAGTAAACAGATGCCCTGGCCTGTCAAATGGTCTATCTGGTAAGTTGGAATACAAATTCAAAAAGCTTTAAAGACAGTAAGAAGAAAAGCGAGTCACAGCATTCAATTCACTAATGCAGTTCCACTGCAAAGACAGAGAAGAAAGAGCAGGAGAGGCCCATCTAGGTGCCCTCTTCCACTACAGAACAAAATCCAAATCCTTTGATTTCACACATAGACCTACAAGAATTACTATGAATCTTCACATTTGTTAATTTACAAGTATCATATTAAGGCCAGACATTCAGTATCTGACAGTCTTCCTACAACTACCAAGCAGATGAGAATATGGCCATTATTTCAGCATTTGAAAATACAAATGTAAGAAGAGGGAAAAAGAATTCAAACTTCTAACTTCAAAATGTGAAAGCCCCAAATCCTGCTTAGTAAGATTATCAACAGTCAACTCCTCAGGCAATAGTCTTGCTCTCCAGCACAATCCTTAAAAACTCTCCCTAAAATCCATCTTAAGGGAACCATACAATAACACAAGCTTTGGTCTGTTACTTGCACCTTCATCACACAGTTCTCTGATATGTTCCTTTTGTAACAGCAGAGAGTAGCCATTAAAAAAAAAAAAAAGGAATAAACTTAACGAATGAAAGTTGTGCTACACACCAGTCTGTTGATTTCCTATCTTTAACAATTCAGTGGATCTCACAGCAAAGATTTATACTCAGCTATTCCTCATTCTCCATACACACACCCACACACACAGATATTTCCAAAATATTGTGAAGAATACCAGAAAATAAACGTTTGCTGTGAGATCTGCTGGATTGTTTACTGCTCCCTATCCATGTTCTCTTCACATCTTTATTAACCAGGGAAGACTCAGAATAAAACACTGTAAGAGTTACAGGGAAGGCAGATTATATGCCTTATTTTTGAAGGTACAAGTGGCCATGACAAGCACATAAACACAGCTCCGCAGGACATCAGGTTCATGGTTTGATTAAAATTTCATAAACTAAAAAGGGAAGGAAAAAGTGTAGGATATAAAAATTGAGAAAAATACTGAAACTAAATGTGGCAACATTAATAGACATTGATTAGGCTGAAAATGGATTTCATTAATAGGAATTTTCATGTTATTTTTTTAACCCCCTGAAGTGTGATTGACACAAAGCATGTCTGCAGTTCAGTTAGCTTGAACAATGACACACACGCAGCTTGGCTGCCCAGTTCTTACATAATTCTTTTAAATTCGATTTTGAAACATAACAGGGAAATTTTTAATGGGGAAATGAACTGTTTTCACAAAAGGAAAATTTGGAAATAACAACTTCATCTTTGAGAAAAACAACTCCCATTGAGCCCAGAAACAAGTTGATGATTTCTTCTCCTTAGAGCTTACATTTGCATAGCCCACACGGAACAAGAACACAGAAGTGTCATTAACCTTTTAGTTACAAAACAAAGTACAATAATTTATATACACATAAGAAAAGTAAAAAAGTCAGTTAGCTCCTCTTTTCACGAGGAAATCTAAAACTTTTTTTTAGATAACACTGAGGTTATCTAAAACATTTTTGTTTTAGATAAAGAATAATTGGGTTGCAAATTTCTGGAGGTGCAGCTCTGGAAAAAAAAATAAAAATGATACTTGTCTTAAGTGCTTTTTAAAACAAACTTTCAGACAATGGAGCATATTAATTTCCATTTCTAGATGCCACTTTCAACACATTAAGAGATTTGAAGCCACAAAATACTGAACTTTTTAATCCTTTATCAGTCAGACAAAAAGCCTGCATCATATTAACCACAAAAAAGGCATTATTTACATTATGCAGCTCTAAACTTTATTTTCATTAATAGATTTTG